ACCTGCTGTGTGCGCCTCTGTGTGTCAATCCACGCATCTCAGTTACCACCACCTGCTGTGTGCGCCTCTGTGTGTCAATCCACGCATCTCAGTTACCACCACCTGCTGTGTGCGCCTCTGTGTGTCAATCCACGCATCTCAGTTACCACCACCTGCTGTGTGCGCCTCTGTGTGTCAATCCACGCATCTCAGTTACCACCACCTGCTGTGTGCGCCTCTGTGTGTCAATCCACGCATCTCAGTTACCACCACCTGCTGTGTGCGCCTCTGTGTGTCAATCCACGCATCTCAGTTACCACCACCTGCTGTGTGCGCCTCTGTGTGTCAATCCACGCATCTCAGTTACCACCACCTGCTGTGTGCGCCTCTGTGTGTCAATCCACGCATCTCAGTTACCACCACCTGCTGTGTGCGCCTCTGTGTGTCAATCCACGCATCTCAGTTACCACCACCTGCTGTGTGCGCCTCTGTGTGTCAATCCACGCATCTCAGTTACCACCACCTGCTGTGTGCGCCTCTGTGTGTCAATCCACGCATCTCAGTTACCACCACCTGCTGTGTGCGCCTCTGTGTGTCAATCCACGCATCTCAGTTACCACCACCTGCTGTGTGCGCCTCTGTGTGTCAATCCACGCATCTCAGTTACCACCACCTGCTGTGTGCGCCTCTGTGTGTCAATCCACGCATCTCAGTTACCACCACCTGCTGTGTGCGCCTCTGTGTGTCAATCCACGCATCTCAGTTACCACCACCTGCTGTGTGCGCCTCTGTGTGTCAATCCACGCATCTCAGTTACCACCACCTGCTGTGTGCGCCTCTGTGTGTCAATCCACGCATCTCAGTTACCACCACCTGCTGTGTGCGCCTCTGTGTGTCAATCCACGCATCTCAGTTACCACCACCTGCTGTGTGCGCCTCTGTGTGTCAATCCACGCATCTCAGTTACCACCACCTGCTGTGTGCGCCTCTGTGTGTCAATCCACGCATCTCAGTTACCACCACCTGCTGTGTGCGCCTCTGTGTGTCAATCCACGCATCTCAGTTACCACCACCTGCTGTGTGCGCCTCTGTGTGTCAATCCACGCATCTCAGTTACCACCACCTGCTGTGTGCGCCTCTGTGTGTCAATCCACGCATCTCAGTTACCACCACCTGCTGTGTGCGCCTCTGTGTGTCAATCCACGCATCTCAGTTACCACCACCTGCTGTGTGCGCCTCTGTGTGTCAATCCACGCATCTCAGTTACCACCACCTGCTGTGTGCGCCTCTGTGTGTCAATCCACGCATCTCAGTTACCACCACCTGCTGTGTGCGCCTCTGTGTGTCAATCCACGCATCTCAGTTACCACCACCTGCTGTGTGCGCCTCTGTGTGTCAATCCACGCATCTCAGTTACCACCACCTGCTGTGTGCGCCTCTGTGTGTCAATCCACGCATCTCAGTTACCACCACCTGCTGTGTGCGCCTCTGTGTGTCAATCCACGCATCTCAGTTACCACCACCTGCTGTGTGCGCCTCTGTGTGTCAATCCACGCATCTCAGTTACCACCACCTGCTGTGTGCGCCTCTGTGTGTCAATCCACGCATCGCAGTTACCACCACCTGCTGTGTGCGCCTCTGTGTGTCAATCCACGCATCTCAGTTACCACCACCTGCTGTGTGCGCCTCTGTGTGTCAATCCACGCATCTCAGTTACCACCACCTGCTGTGTGCGCCTCTGTGTGTCAATCCACGCATCTCAGTTACCACCACCTGCTGTGTGCGCCTCTGTGTGTCAATCCACGCATCTCAGTTACCACCACCTGCTGTGTGCGCCTCTGTGTGTCAATCCACGCATCTCAGTTACCACCACCTGCTGTGTGCGCCTCTGTGTGTCAATCCACGCATCTCAGTTACCACCACCTGCTGTGTGCGCCTCTGTGTGTCAATCCACGCATCTCAGTTACCACCACCTGCTGTGTGCGCCTCTGTGTGTCAATCCACGCATCTCAGTTACCACCACCTGCTGTGTGCGCCTCTGTGTGTCAATCCACGCATCTCAGTTACCACCACCTGCTGTGTGCGCCTCTGTGTGTCAATCCACGCATCTCAGTTACCACCACCTGCTGTGTGCGCCTCTGTGTGTCAATCCACGCATCTCAGTTACCACCACCTGCTGTGTGCGCCTCTGTGTGTCAATCCACGCATCTCAGTTACCACCACCTGCTGTGTGCGCCTCTGTGTGTCAATCCACGCATCTCAGTTACCACCACCTGCTGTGTGCGCCTCTGTGTGTCAATCCACGCATCTCAGTTACCACCACCTGCTGTGTGCGCCTCTGTGTGTCAATCCACGCATCTCAGTTACCACCACCTGCTGTGTGCGCCTCTGTGTGTCAATCCACGCATCTCAGTTACCACCACCTGCTGTGTGCGCCTCTGTGTGTCAATCCACGCATCTCAGTTACCACCACCTGCTGTGTGCGCCTCTGTGTGTCAATCCACGCATCTCAGTTACCACCACCTGCTGTGTGCGCCTCTGTGTGTCAATCCACGCATCGCAGTTACCACCACCTGCTGTGTGCGCCTCTGTGTGTCAATCCACGCATCTCAGTTACCACCACCTGCTGTGTGCGCCTCTGTGTGTCAATCCACGCATCTCAGTTACCACCACCTGCTGTGTGCGCCTCTGTGTGTCAATCCACGCATCTCAGTTACCACCACCTGCTGTGTGCGCCTCTGTGTGTCAATCCACGCATCTCAGTTACCACCACCTGCTGTGTGCGCCTCTGTGTGTCAATCCACGCATCTCAGTTACCACCACCTGCTGTGTGCGCCTCTGTGTGTCAATCCACGCATCTCAGTTACCACCACCTGCTGTGTGCGCCTCTGTGTGTCAATCCACGCATCTCAGTTACCACCACCTGCTGTGTGCGCCTCTGTGTGTCAATCCACGCATCTCAGTTACCACCACCTGCTGTGTGCGCCTCTGTGTGTCAATCCACGCATCTCAGTTACCACCACCTGCTGTGTGCGCCTCTGTGTGTCAATCCACGCATCTCAGTTACCACCACCTGCTGTGTGCGCCTCTGTGTGTCAATCCACGCATCTCAGTTACCACCACCTGCTGTGTGCGCCTCTGTGTGTCAATCCACGCATCTCAGTTACCACCACCTGCTGTGTGCGCCTCTGTGTGTCAATCCACGCATCTCAGTTACCACCACCTGCTGTGTGCGCCTCTGTGTGTCAATCCACGCATCTCAGTTACCACCACCTGCTGTGTGCGCCTCTGTGTGTCAATCCACGCATCTCAGTTACCACCACCTGCTGTGTGCGCCTCTGTGTGTCAATCCACGCATCTCAGTTACTACCACCTGCTGTGTGCGCCTCTGTGTGTCAATCCACGCATCTCAGTTACCACCACCTGCTGTGTGCGCCTCTGTGTGTCAATCCACGCATCTCAGTTACCACCACCTGCTGTGTGCGCCTCTGTGTGTCAATCCACGCATCTCAGTTACCACCACCTGCTGTGTGCGCCTCTGTGTGTCAATCCACGCATCTCAGTTACCACCACCTGCTGTGTGCGCCTCTGTGTGTCAATCCACGCATCTCAGTTACCACCACCTGCTGTGTGCGCCTCTGTGTGTCAATCCACGCATCTCAGTTACCACCACCTGCTGTGTGCGCCTCTGTGTGTCAATCCACGCATCTCAGTTACCACCACCTGCTGTGTGCGCCTCTGTGTGTCAATCCACGCATCTCAGTTACCACCACCTGCTGTGTGCGCCTCTGTGTGTCAATCCACGCATCTCAGTTACCACCACCTGCTGTGTGCGCCTCTGTGTGTCAATCCACGCATCTCAGTTACCACCACCTGCTGTGTGCGCCTCTGTGTGTCAATCCACGCATCTCAGTTACCACCACCTGCTGTGTGCGCCTCTGTGTGTCAATCCACGCATCTCAGTTACCACCACCTGCTGTGTGCGCCTCTGTGTGTCAATCCACGCATCTCAGTTACCACCACCTGCTGTGTGCGCCTCTGTGTGTCAATCCACGCATCTCAGTTACCACCACCTGCTGTGTGCGCCTCTGTGTGTCAATCCACGCATCTCAGTTACCACCACCTGCTGTGTGCGCCTCTGTGTGTCAATCCACGCATCTCAGTTACCACCACCTGCTGTGTGCGCCTCTGTGTGTCAATCCACGCATCTCCATGTGCCTCTGTGTGTTTCCCCCCGCTGCCAGAATCGTGGACGGTAATCGAATTGTTCAGCCGTTTCCCCTCTCCCTCAACGGATCGGCCCTCAGTGTTATGTGCGTGCCTGAGTGTGCGTGTCTGAGTGTGCGTGTCTGAGTGTGCGTGTCTGAGTGTGCGTGTCTGAGTGTGCGTGCCTGAGTGTGCGTGCCTGAGTGTGCGTGCCTGAGTGTGCGTGTCTGAGTGTGTGTGCCTGCATGCAACTGTCATGTCATGAGCATTGTGCGTGCCCCACAGCCCAGCCCTTCTCTTCTTGTCCTCTGTGGTGCATTCGTCTTTTGAGGCACCTCAAAAACCAGCCCGCCTCATTCGTTGTCAACCGGAAACACCTTATTTATCAATAACAACCAATCGCACGGTGTGATGTGCTGTGCTGTGCACTCTAATGCCCAGCCTTTTTTTTGTCCTGCCATCTCTCGGTGCTCTCACAGAGCTGGCTGGCTTCTTGCTCTGTTAGTAACAGACACACTCTTTTCCGCTGTTGAAATACCTCACCTACCTTGTTGCACTTTGGTTCACCTCACCCTACTCATATTGTGTCGCCCCACCCCACGGCTCATGGCACAGTCGAGTTTTGAGACAGTAACAGCAGCAGCATATTGTAACAGCAGCATGCATTCTCTGCGCTTATACAATCACTCATTTACCTTCTTATTTCTGAGGCGCTCAAAGACATTCACCCTGTTGCCCTGTCTTTCTCCCACTCATTCGCGTTGCCGCACGGCTCACGGCACAGTTATTGGAGTGGCAACACCATCACCGAGCCTATGCCCTTGGTTTGGAATCTTCCAAATCTGAAGGACTTGTGAGTCCCCCAACACCTCCTTTCCACACCTCCTTTCCACTTTCCCGCCCACACCTCCTTTTGGAAACGTTTGCCCATATTCCAACTTTAACTTAACGGATGCTCAAGGTCTCATTTGAGAATTCTCAAAAGTGACGGATGCTGAAGGTCTCACGCAAGTCCTTGCTTTTACAGAAACGGAGATAAAAAAGACTCTGGTTTTTGTGTAGAGCGTTTGTTCAGAAGTCAACATTCCTTGTAAGCTACGGGTCCAACACTCTCCTCAACCCCATGCCCGTGCACTCGTCATACCCATACATCCACCATGCACTCACCCCGTGCATCCACCATGCACTCACCCCATGCATCCACTATGCATTTATTTTCATCCCTCCATTCCCCATCCACCATGCACACATCATACCCCATGCATCCACCATGCATCCACCATGCATCCACCATGTATCCACATGCATCCACCATGCGTCCTCCATGCATCCACCATGCATCCACCATGCATCCACCATGCATCCACCATGCATCCACCATGCATCCACCATGCATCCACCATGCGTCCTCCATGCATCCACCATGCATCCACCATGCATCCACCATGCATCCACCATGCATCCACCATGCATCCACCATGCATCCACCATGCATCCCCCGTGCATCCACCATGCATCCACCATGCATCCCCCGTGCATCCACCATGCATCCACCATGCATCCACCATGCATCCACCCCACCATGCATCCACCACCCATCCACCATGCATGCAGCCTCGCCAGCAACTGCAGCATTCCACAACAGACGCTGCTCTCCTTCCCCCAGTCTAAGTCCCTCGCCAATCTGTGAGTCCCTCTGCCAGCCTATCTGTGACTTCCCTGCTTACCGCGCTTCTGCCCTTACTCCCTTTGCCACCCTTACTGCCCGCCCTACCCAAAGTCAAACCCGAAAGAAACCCCAAGGCGCCCTTGCTGCTGCACAGAACTACCATCCCTTTTCCTGCGACGACTTTTGAGGCGCCTCAAAAGTTCTGCCCGTCCCACCGAATGTCAAACCTCAATCCCCAAGGCGCCCTTGCTGCTGCTGCTGCTGCTGCTGCTGCTGCTGCTGCTGCTGCTGCTGCTGCACAGAACTACGATTTTTTTTCCTGCCATTTCCTCTGCAACCCGAGGTGACTTTTGAGTCGACTCAAGAAATCCCTTCCCCTGCTGCCGTTTGCTCTGCTACACCAGAACAAGGGTTTCCACTTCTTTCCCCCTTTCTTCTCCCAACCCCAGCCTCCCTTTTCCCTGTCCGTTCTCTCGTTCCTCCCAACCTTATCCTCTTCCTCCTTCACTTCCCATTCTTCTCATTTTCCCTCCCTTCCTCCATACTTTGTCCCCACCGTTTTTCCGTGCTCTCTTGCATTCATTCTTCCTTCTCCCAGCCATTCTCTCTCCACCCCCTCTTGTTCCTTCCTCCCTTCAATTCACCCTTCCTCCAACCCCCCCTCCCCCCCCCCCCCCCCCCTTATCCCCCTCACCACCTTTGTCCTCACCAAAAACTGGAAAGAAGAACAAACAACCATAACCCATGATCTACCCCCTTTGTTCCTCTCTCCCCCACTGCTCCTTCCAGGGACCTGAGTCAGAACAATTTCTGGGGTTATATTTCCGCCTCTCAGTTCACTGACAGCCCCAACCTCGTCAACCTGTGAGTGCGACTTTTGAGTGTGCGACTTTTGAGTGTGCGACTCTTGAGTGTGCGACTTTTGAGTCGACTCAAAAGTCACCTGGGGTTGTATTTCCGCCTCTCACTTCACTGACAGCTCCACTCGGGGCAGCGGGCTGCAGCACATGGGGACCGCAGCACATGGGGACCGCAGCACATGGGGACCGCAGCACATGGGGACCGCAGCACATGGGGACCGCAGCACATGGGGACCACAGCACATGGGGACCTCAGCACATGGGGACCTCAGCACATGGGGACCGCAGCACATGGGGACCGCAGCACATGGGGACCTCAGCACATGGGGTCCGCAGCACATGGGGACCGCAGCACATGGGGGATTCGTGCTATAGGTTTCCAGCACATAGGGGGCAGCCATAGGTTTCCACAGCAAGGGGGATGAGGGACTCATGCTCTGTGCGGTTCCTATTTCTCCCTCTCCCACACCCCCTCCCTCCATCCCCTTTTTCCTCTCCCTCGCCCCCTCCCTTCCCCCTCAACTCTCCCTTCCCAGCAACCTTGCCAACAACGCACTGCAGGATTCCGTCCCTCCTGAGATCAACCAGGCAGCCAACCTGCAATCCCTGTGAGCCAACCTGCAATCCCTGTGAGCCAACCTGCAATCCCTGTGAGCCAACCTGCAATCCCTGTGAGCCAACCTGCAATCCCTGTGAGCCAACCTGCAATCCCTGTGAGCCAACCTGCAATCCCTGTGAGCCAACCTGCAATCCCTGTGAGCCACGCTCTCAAAGTCACCACGCTCTCTCGAGTACGCCCTCCCTCCCTGCCTCCCTACTTTTTAATCCGAAACTGTTGTCTCTGATGACTGTACAATCCGAAACTGTTGTCTCTGATGGCTGTACAATCCGACACTGTTTGTGTTCCCTCCTCTCCCCCCTCCTTCCCGCCTCCCCACCCACCCCCACAGATTCCTCTCGGGCAATCACCTCACAGGCAGGCTACCAGACCTCGCAGGCTTGAGTGGAGCCGTGTCGCTCTCCTTTACAAGGCCTCCTCCGCTCCTCATTCTTGTTCCTCTGTGCCCTCACCCCTCTCTACCCCCCCAGCTTCCTCTCAGGCAATCGCCTCACAGGCAGGCTACCAGACCTATCAGGCCTCAGCAAGGCCGTGTCTCTCTCCTTCTACAACAACCTCCTCACAGTCTCCTACTCCTTGCTCTCTGCACCTTCCTCTCCTCCCCCTTCAGCTTCCTCTCAGGCAATCGCCTCACGGGCAGGCTGCCAGACCTGTCAGGCCTCAGCAAGGCAGTGTCTCTCTCCTTTTACGACAACCTCCTCACTGGCCCTCTCCCCCGCCTCAACCGCTCCGACATCACGCTGCAGTGAGTGGCTCTCCCCTCACTTACTGACATCACGCTGCAGTGAGTGGCTCTCCCCTCACTTACTGACATCACGCTGCAGTGAGTGGCTCTCCCCTCACTTACTGACATCACGCTGCAGTGAGTGGCTCTCCCCTCACTTACTGACATCACGCTGCAGTGAGTGGCTCTCCCCTCACTTACTGACATCACGCTGCAGTGAGTAATGTCTAATGACTCCGCTCCGCCTCCCCTCGCTCAAGAGTCGCGGTGAGTCGACTCAATGACAACCTCCTAATTGGCCCTTTACCCACCCTCAAGCATGCTGATATCACACTGCTGCTGTGAGTGCCCTCCCATGATGACGTCACCCTGCACATGCCTCCTTTGCCGATATCACTCTACGGGCACTCCAATCCAACTGCTCTGACTTTTGAGGCGCCTCAAAAGTCGTCTCTCTACCCGCAATTTTTTATATCGATCGATATCACTCTACGGGCACTCCAATCCAACTGCTCTGACGCACGCCGGTTTTGCCTCTCTTTACCCCTTCCGCCACCCCTCCCCTCCCACACCACCTCTTCCCCCTCCTCTCCCTCCAGGCTATACGGCAACCCTCTCTGCTCGCCTTACACTCCTGAAAAGCAAGCCGCCTGCTCCCCACCAGCCGACCCCACCCAGTACACTGCACCCTCCTTCTGCCAGGGCCACCTCTACAGCCCCTGTTCTGCCTAAACCCGCTCTGAACTTCTGAAGCACACTCCTTCTCCCTCTCCTCACCATCCCCTCCCCTCCGTCCCCACCCCCCCTCCCCCCAGGCTATACGGCAACCCGCTCTGCTCGCCCTACACTCCCGACAAGCAAGCCCCCTGCTCCCCACCAGCCGACCTCACGCAGTACACTGCACCCTCCTTCTGCCAGGGCTTCGCCTGTGAGGGCGACCTCTACAGCCCCAGCATGCCGCTCTTTCAGCAGTCCAGCCTCTGCATCTGCGTGTCGCCACTGCGCGCTGACGTGGCGCTCTACCTGTCGTCCTACGTGGTGTTTAATCAAGCGCTTGTGGACCGGCTCGAGGAGATTCTGTTTCAGGAGCTGGTCGGCGGCAAGTTTGGGCTCAATATCACCAAGTCGCAGGTGAGGTTCTGGACGTGAGTTCTGAATGACACCAGATTGCTGGATGGACTTTAAATCAAGCGCTTGTGGACCGGCTTGAGGAGATTCTGTTCCAGGAGCTCGTTGGTGGCAAATTTGGGCTCAATATCACAAAATCGCAGGTGAGGTTCTGGGTCTTACCAGACTGCGGCTTCTCAATGGCGTCTCTCCTGCCTTGCAGTAAGCTTGGGTCTTATTGTGAGTCGTCGTGCGCTTGTGGATCCGCTTGAGGAGAGTCTGTTTCAGGAGCTGGTCGGCAGAAAGCTTGGGCTCAAATTCACAAGACAGCATCTGAGCATCTTCTGGATGTCAGCATATCGCAGATCAGCTACTGAATGCCGTCGTCTCCTCCCTTTCGGTTGGGTGATGTGAATCGTTATTGCGCACCGCAACCACACACCATGGACAAGTGTTTTTCTGATGTTCACTTGCCCTTTTCTGTTATCAGCTCTTTCGTCCTTTCTTTGTTCCTCCTTCCCAAATTTTTGCCACCTCCCTAAGCCCCCTGGCCTTCCCCTGTTTCCCCTCTCCTCCCTGTTCCACCCTTGCCCCTTCCCCTCCCTTTCCCCTCCCCCTCCCCGTCCCCTCCCCACCTCCAGGTGCTAATCTCAGCAATCAAGTCCCCTTCATCTCTCCCCTCCCTCGCCTCCACCTTTGCATCGGACCACACCACACACGAGTCCACCACCACCGTCTCAATCCTCTTCTTCCCTCCGGTCGGGGACGACAGCTGGTACCCGCGCGACCTCCCAAAGGGCATCAAGCAGGCGCTCTCGCTGCGTAACACCGACCCCACGCAGCAGATGAACCTCAGCGAGTTTGGCTCCATTCTCTCTGTGCACTTCCACGGCCCTGCGCGTGAGTGTCCTGGGGGTTTGCATCTCTTCTGTAGGGTTGGAGGTCTGGGGTTGTACTAAAGGGCATCAAGCAAGCGCTCTCGCTGCGTAACACCGACCCCACGCACCAGATGAATCTGAGTGAATTCGGGTCGATTCTCTCCGTGCACTTCCACGGCCCCGCGCGTGAGTTGCCTTGGGGGGGGGGTCGCATTTGTTGTTCTATGGGGTCAGGGGTTGTCCCTAGGGGCATCAAGCAGGCGCTGTCGCTGTGCAACACCGACCCCACTGCCATCTCCTTTTTCACTCCTGTCTCATCTCTTCCATTTTTCCGTTGACTCGCGATTCCTTCCAATGGAAATGTCGCAGCCTACAACCCCATCGCAGCCTACAACCCCATCGCAGCCTGCAACCCCATCGCAGCCTGCAACCCCATCGCAGCAGGCCATAAATGCGGCCGAGCACAGGCACCATTGTCGCCATCGTCGCCCTCTCAGTCGCCTCTTTCCTCTCTTCTGTCTCACCCTTGATCTGTGTTTCCTTTTCCCTTCCCTCCTCTCCTTCCAGTTGCAACCTACAATCCCCATCACAACCATCGCAGCAGGCCTCGTCTGGGCTGAGCACTGGCACCGACGCGGGCGTCTCCTCCTTGTCTACCTCTCTTCCTCTCCTTGTATCCCTCTCTTCCTCTCCTTGTAACCCTCTCTTTCCTTCCACTCCTCTTTGCATCCCTCCCTTCTTTTCCGTGCGCGCTCTTCCCAACCCAACCAACCACTCACAGCCTACAATCCTCCAGCGCAGCAATCGTCGTCTGGGCTGAGCACTGGTGCCATCGTGGCCATCTCTGTGTGCTCCGCTGCCGTTGCCATCGCCCTCATTGTGGCTCTGCTCATGCGCCCCTGGGCGAGACGAGGTGAGGGGGAGGAGCAAGATGAGTGGGAGAAGCGAGGTGAGCGGTTGATTCAACACTGCTGCCGAGTGGTTCTTGAGTCAAGACTCAAAGGCCACTGCTGTTGCCATCGCCCTCATTGTGGCTCTGCTCATGCGCCCCTGGGCGCGGCGAGGTGTGCAGGAGAAACGAGGTGGGAGGGAGGAGCGAGGTGTGCAGGAGAAATGAGGTGGGTGGTTTTGGGTCGTCTCTCAATAGGTGCTCCTGTTGACATCGCCCTCATTGTGGCTCTGCTCATGCGCCCCTGGGAGAGGCGAGGTGAGGGGGAGAAAGGGGAATGAGAGGGAAAAGAGAGATAGGTGATTGGGAGAAGAGAGGTGAGAGAAAGGAGGTAAGGGCGAAGAGAAAGGTGAGAGGAGGAGAGAGAAAGTGTTAGTGAAGGGTGGGGACGATGTAGAGGCTCATAGTTGTGTCAAGGGTTTGCAGCGAGGGAATGTGGAAGCAATTGGTGAATCTAGTTTCCTAAAACTATGCGGACTACAAAGCTCTGGAGGGCACCACCCTGCTGCACGCTCGTTAGCGTCTCCCCCCATTCTTCCCTCCCACCCCTCCTTCATCCCTCGCCCCTGTTCATCGCCCACCCCTCCTTCACCCCTCTCCCCCATTCATTGCCCTCCTTAATCCCTCGCCCCAACCACCCTGGGTGGAGCAATGCGGACTAGGAGGCACTGGAGGGCATTACCCTACAGCACGCCCCTTGACCTTTCCCCTTGCTTTGCCACCCGTTCATTCCCCCCCGTCCCTCCCCGCTCTCCCCTCCCAGGGTGGAGCAATACGGACTACGAGGCACTGGAGGGCATCACCCTACAACACGCTCGTTGACCTTCCCCCCTCCATCCCTCCAGAAGCTCTCGAGCCTTCATTCCTCCTTCGTCCCTCTTCCCCAATCCTCCCTGCCCTCCCCCCCCCCAGGGTGGAGCAATGCGGATTACGAGGCACTGGAGGGCATCAACCTGCAGCATGCGCGGCGCTACTCCCTGTGGCAACTAGCAGAGGCGACTCATGGCTTTGATGACTCGGCGGTTCTGGGAGAGGGAGGATTCGGAACGGTAGGTGTGAGAGGGAAAAGTTGTGGTTTTTATTTTAGAGGAATTTGATCGGAAAAATCTGGTGCTGTTTTTTTTTTCTTTATCGGGGTCAAAAGGCGTGTCCACAATTTTTTTCTCCCCATTCCTCTCCCAGGTGTATCGGGGAGTGCTGAACGGTGAGCCGGTGGCGATCAAGAAGGCGAATGAGAAGCGGCGGCATGACGGGGTGGATTTCAAGAACGAGATCGAGATGCTGACGGCGGTGTCGCACGGCAACCTCGTGAAGCTCACCGGCTTCTGTGTGGAGAAGGACGAGCAGCTGCTCGTGTTCGAATTCATGGAGGGGGGGGCGCTGGACGCCTGGATCAAAGGTGGGTTGACAGTGGATTGAGTGCGGTTGGGTGCGGTTGAATGCGTGGAGCAAGGGTGTGCTTCTGTGTGGAGAGGGACGAGCAGCTGCTGGTGTTCGAGTTCATGGAGGGGGGCGCGCTGGACGCCTGGATCAAAGGTGGGTTCACGTTGGCTGTAGTACGTTTGTGTGCGGTTGGGAGCGATTGGTTGCGGATGTGTGTGGATAAAGGGTGTGCTTCTGTGTGGAGAGGGACGAGCAGCTGCTGGTGTTTGAGTTCATGGAGGGGGGTGCTCTCAACGCCTGGAGCAAAGGTTTGACTTCACTTAGGGATCAAACATTCTGTCTTGACCCTCCTTGAAAACAATTTTCTGTTCCGTCTTCTTGGGAAGGGGAAGAAGGAGGTGGGAGGCAGCTTTTAATTCACGAAGGGGGGTGCACGGGATGCCTCAATCAAAGCTGTGTATCCGATCGTATGTGTAGTTTGTGCTTGGCATTGGCGGGTTACCAAGTGCATGCGTTCTGGTATTTGCCTGTTACCCGTAACAAAATTCGTGTGCTCATCGTTTTGCCACGGATATTATTTTACTGTTTTTTTCATTACACTCAAAACCCCTCATTGACTTCCGATCGTGTGTTGTGCCACCTACTTGCTTTACTTACGTGAACAGGAAAGACGGGGCGCGTTTTATCATGGAAGGAGAGGATGCGGATTGCTCTTGATGCCGCTAGTGCGCTGCACTACTTGCACAAGGAGATGAGGCCCGGCATCATCCACCGCGATATCAAGGTGTGCTGCCATACAGTATTCTCTGTTATCTACATGTCTTCAATAATAACCGTCTGCGTGTTGGAGTTTTGGCGATGTCAGGAAGCCGTGTGTAACCAACCACTTGTAACCATTTTTTTGCAATGTGTCAAAGCTTATTTGCTTGTTTTCATCATCAAGGTTTGCAGCCATTGCTGTACAGCATGCATGTACCTCCATTCCTTTCTTCTGTTATCGTATTTCCACCGTTCCCTGTACGATAATTTCTTTCTTTTGTCTTTTTTCTCCCCCTCTCTCTCCCTCCTTCCCAGCCGGCCAACATTCTGCTGACAGCATCGCTGGAAGCCAAGGTGGCGGACTTTGGCATTTCCAAGTCGCTGCCAGAAAAGGGAGAGCTGGTGCAGGAGGAAATCATCGGCAGCAAGGTGAGATGATTGCACACATGCTCAATAAACTGTGGGGTTTCGGTTTTTTTTTTTTTTTTTTTTTTACTTTTTTTTTTTCCACAAACAGACCCTCCTCCACGTTTCGTGAGTCTAACTGTGGCCTTTTTTCTTTTTCTTTTTCTTCTTCTTCTTCTTCTTCCCACCTTTGTCAGGGCTACATCGACCCACACTTTGCGGTGTCGGAGGTGCTGACGGAGCGCAGTGACGTGTTCAGCTTCGGGGTGGTGCTGCTGCAGCTGGCCACGGGGCAGCCGCCCGTCATTCAGGGAGTGCCGCTCAGCCAGGTCGTGCTGCACCTCGCCTTCGGCCCCCAAGGCCTCTCCGCTGCTGTCGACCCCAAACTCTCCCACTTCCTCCGCGCCCGGGGGGATCCCACTGCTGCTGCTGCTCCTGCTGCTGCCTCCGCTGCTGCTGCTCCAGCTGCTTCTGCCGCTGTTGCAAAAACTAGCTCTACTGGTGCTGCTGCCGCTGCTGCCGCTGCCGGTGCTGCTGCTGCCGCTGCTGCGGGTGGGGAAATGAGTGCGGGGGAGATGGTGGAGGGGTTGGAAGAGACGTTCGGCACGTTCCTGCGGGTGGCGCTGTGGTGCACGGCAGAGCACCCCTCGCTTCGTCCCGACATGGAGCAGGTCGTATCTGCGCTGCGCAGCATCAGGGACCATCTCCGGGCGCTACCTGGGGGAGGCGCTGCTGCTGACAGCTCACTTCCCCACCATGCTGGCAGTGCAGCAGCAGCAGGTGCAGGTGCAGGTGCTGGTGCTGCTGGTAGTGTGGGGCCTGCAGGAGCTATCCCTAGTGGCGCCAATGGTTACAACGCACCTGCTGGTAACCAGCGAGCTTCAGCAGCAGCAGGGTTCAGCCCAGGGGGGAGATCTCCTGAGACTGGGCTCACAGGGGCACCGTCTAGTATGACCACTCTGTGGAACCCCATGGGGGATTCTTCGTCCGGTCAACCCGGGTCAAACTGGTCAAACCTGGGTGAGGAGCAGACGACGTTGATGGACGGGTATGGCGACACGGGCACACAGAACCAAACCTTGACAGGGCCGCGTGCCCGATAGGTGCGGCTTTTCTGGTCAACCAGGGCCAACCACTGTCAAACCGATAGATTATCTCGGAGCTCATTTGCTGATCCTTCATCTGCTGCGTAGTGTAGTTAGTACATTTGTTTGATGTGCAATGTTGAAATTCAGTTGAATATATTCTCAGAACTTTTAGTTGGAATTGCCATAGAATGGGTGGTGTAAGGAATTTTGCCTTACTCAGGCGCGTACAATTCCAACTTTCGGAAATCAGGCTCAGTCCGACGACCTCGCCTTCTGAACGTCTCTCGCGTCGCCTTCGGGTTTTCCAAACCCAAACCTGCACCTGACCTTGCGCGGTCCCGCAACCTTGGCCTAGCTAGCTTTCGCTATATCTGTCCTAGGCTTCATGATTTGGTCAGTAGTTGTAATCACTTCCGCGATATTGCATTATGCGCACTCGTCTTGAGTACAACTCATAACAGGTGGAAAAAAATGTTCCAGAGTGTTGTTTTTAGTTACACAATGAATTACCACCTACCGTACCGTAATACCCCGGATATAAGCGCATCTGCGCTTATAATAAAACAGTGTTTTTTAGGGGGGTGCGCTTATAAATGAGTCAAAATTATAAGCGCATGCGCTTATATAATGACAAACACAGAAATATGTTATAAACGCACCAAACTGTGCATCTGAGTCTTGAAATTTCATTCAAATCGAAATGTGTGGAGCGTTGTGAATCAGAATCGCGCGAGGGCGATTCTCTGCCGGCGCACAAGGGCAAGGACACATCAATTTCGCATAGGAATGTGTCATGCTCGCCCCAGCCCAGTGTACGAACCAATAGTTTGCAGTCGCTCGTTCGCATCGCACAGGCTTGCCCCAGTGTACGACCAATGGCCTGCAGTCGCTCTCTCGCAGCGCACAGACAGCAGTTGTTCCCAAGCCCCCTGTCAGGCCAACTTCGCGCCGTTGCGCTTTTCCTAAGCGAGCCCGCCCTCGAGGGAGTCGAACAGAGTAGAAGTGGATGTGGACTCGCTGCAAAACGGGAAGTCGTTACTGTTTTAATCCGGTTTTTTTATAATATGTTTATACATGCGCTTATAATAAATCAGGGTTTTATAAGGGGTGTGCTTATAATTGAGGATCGGCCATAAGCGCATTGCTCCAGATATAAGCGCATGCGCTTAACATAGGCCTGCGCTTATATCCGGGGTGATACGGTAAGACCCACTCTTGTGTGCATGCGTGCGTGCGTGTGAATTACCACCTAAGGGCGCGTAACTTTTTTGCTTCCGTCCGGACTTTTGTAGGGTTACTAAATTCGTCAAAAGGTTCGCAAGACCCCTCGCGACGTCGCGATCGTACGTACGAAGTCTGACACTTTTCTGTCAGTTCATCGTCCATTCTACGCTACTGACACCGTCCGGCCAGCATTTCGGACCGTCCGGAACCCCTGCAACGTCATTGGTGCGCGGGACATCTTTTCATAATCAAATTTCCAACTTCAACTTTCAATTTGTTTGTGTGTTGTACTCATAGTAGCGCGAGCAAGAGGACAAAGTGGTTGGAAAGTTCAAACATTACCGAGTTGCAAATGCATGCTTGCGAATTGGGCGATGTGCTGGCGAGGTAGGTTATGCTCGTTTGTAAGGAATTTTCTCGATATTCCTTAGTGCACCCTGCAACATCGCGTACAGCAGCAGCCGTTGTTCGCCCGTTACTGCTAACGGGGCTTCGCCGACTTCGCGCGCACTGTTTCACCAAACCTCGCACTGCTGGCCTGGCCGTATCGGCCTACGCTTCGGGACTAGCCCGAGCCTCGCTTCCAGCATAGCACTAGCTAGCTCGCACGCACCGCGTTACCGTTTGCATGTTTCGCGTATAAATGTTCGCTCATGCCTTCGCTCACATTTTGTACTCGTTTGACACCTTAGTGCAATTCTCGCTACTTCGATTCATTGCACCCGTAACACTTGGTATTCAGAGCCTCTTTCTTTTCGGACCGCGCATCTCCGCACCCCAGGAAATCAACTTTTGATTTTTTCACTCGAAGGGACTCACGTACCTTAGCACCTAGGAGCCGCTGTCCTCGCGTTCTGTCGTATACGCGTGCAGCCACGACTGCGCCTAGACTAAGACGAGCCGATGCCCTTCGACATGGCTGAGCATATCGATGTCACAACTCTCACGCAGGAGCACTTGAACGAACTGATGCGGCAAATCCGCGAAAGCTCTGAGGAAATCGCGGCGCTGACGGCAGAACGCACGTCCCTGCAAAACGACCTCGCACGAGCACAATCCCAAGCACCTGGCACTCCAATTCAGCCCGCACTACAGGCATCGCAACACGGAAGTGTGGGGCAACCCGCGAGCGCCGCAAGTGATGGCGTTGTCCGCCATGACGGAGACGACGACCACGGCACGACACACCCCGACGCGACGAATGCGGCCCGGAATCAACCTCGAGTCACGATCTCCGTGCCGGCCTGCGAATCAACCCTACCGTCGCCGATGCCGCTGAAGCCGCAGCGCCCGCCATGTTTCGATCCAAGTCAGCGGGGTGGTCCTACCGTTCAGGCGTGGCTCTTCACGTTGAACGTTTTCCTCGACGCGAACTACGTCTCGGAGGATACGGCGAAGATCCGATAAGCTGTGTCGTTGCTGCGAGGACCCGCCATGGACTGGTGGCGTGTCATCGTCACGGAGCCGGTGGACTACGCGACTCTACCGACACGGGAAGGACAAACCGGACCCTGGGCGCCGTCGTATTTCGTGGAGGTGCCCCAGTATCGCACGTGGGACGCGTGGTGCGCAGGTCTGCGCGCTCGTTTCGAGCCAATTGCGGCTTCAATCGCGGCGCGACAGAGGCTCCGCACTTGGCGCCAACTCGGTTCTGTCCAAGACTATACGAGCGGGTTTGTGGCGCTATGCGAGCAGGTGGGATACATGCACGAGAGCGAACGCATTGACTGCTACATCGGCGGCCTGAAGAAGGACATCGCTCAGGAAATCCAGCTTCGCGGCGTCACCGATTTTCAGGAGATTCTCGCCATGGCGGAGAAACTCGATTTCTTCCGCCGACCGAGACCGGGGTCCTACGGAAGCAGCAATTGGGGACATCGGCCTCGTGGGACGAACGAGGGCGCTACGATACGTGCCGTCGCCGCAAATGCCGCTGCCGCACCATTCAAAGGGCGCTGCTTTGCGTGCAATCGGCCAGGACACCGTAAGAGCGAATGCCCGGAAAATGCTAAGGGAAAGGGGGAAGCTGAGCAGCAGAAACAGACCTAGCAGCAGGGAAACGCTGGGAGTCAGTAGCAGACGGGCCCTCTACTGACAGGTCACGCCGCTCGCCCGACCCAACCGACCCTTACCGAGTGACTGTGCCGGTTCACGCAATCGACCACACCCGACCGAATAAGGAGGGTACTACGGTAGACAGCCCTATACTTCTTAGTGGGAAAATTGGGACTGACTTAGTTAAAATATTCGTAGACGGGGGAGCCAGCCACAGCCTCATCAACACTGCTACAGCACGAAAACTGCGACTACCACTGGACAGATGCTTACCTGAGATCGACGCAAGACTGGTCGACGGCACACCACTGGCAATACGGGAACGCGTGGACCGAGTTCGGATTGGTAACTTCACGTTTAGCCAGGAAATGCTCGCAACGACCCTCGACGGAATCGATATTTTACTCGGGCGTGATTGGCTGCGACGACACAATCCACGAATCGACTGGACGACGGGTGACTGTGCTGTGCGAGTGAACGGTAACAACATCGCCTTACCCCGCTGGGGCTCGCGTGAGTCTTCGTCGGTGCGTGTCAACGCGATCACAATGAAACGCGCCGTAGCGGCAGGAGCTGACGTGTACGCGGTTGACATTCGGGAAGCCGAGGCAGCAGACAAAGGAGGGGATTTACAGAAACTGCTAGCCGACGTACCGAGTGATCTGGCAGCACTGTTGAAACAGTACAGTGACATTTTCCCGGACGACCTACCGACGGGACTGCCACCTGAGCGACCGCACGACCACAGGATAGAGCTAGAACCGGGGGCACAGCCGACAGTACAGCGACAGTTCCGACTGACCCAACCCGAACTGGACGAACTGAGGAAGCAGCAGGATTACCTCCTAGAGAAGGAGTTCATTCGCCCTAGTTCGTCGCCCTTCGCAGCACCGATACTGTTCACGCCGAAAAAAGACGGGGGATTTCGCATGTGCATAGATTTTAGAGCACTGAACATGGTTACCATCAAATCCCGTTACCCCATCCCGCGAGCCGACGAACTGATCGACCAACTGCGCACAGCCCGGGTTTTCTCGAAAATCGACCTTCGAGGAGGTTACCACCAGATTCGCGTCAACCCACCCGACTGCCCTAAGACAGCCTTCCGAACACGCTACGGATCCTTCGAATACACCGTCATGCCTTTCGGACTGACCAACGCCCCCGCCACTTTTCAAATGACCATGAACGAAGCCTTCTGCCCGCTTTTAGATAAGTGCGTCATCGTATACCTGGACGACATACTGATTTACAGCCCCGACAGAGCACAGCACTTCCAGGACATCGAAGCAGTCTTTAAGATACTGAGTGAGAACCGCCTACTGACAAAAGCGTCTAAGTGTGAGTTTTTACAGGACCGACTGGAGTTTTTGGGACACGTCATTTCAGCTGCAGGAGTGGAAATAGACCCGAAAAAATTTGCGACGATTCAAGCATGGCACGCGCCGACCAACTTGACCGAGCTGCAGAGTTTTTTGTGTCAGAGGTCCACTGGAGATCCCCGATTGATCCTAGGGAAGGGTTACAGGCACGTTGGCCTGGGGGGTTATGGGCGCACTGACCCGCTACTTAACAAGCCCTTTTATCCCAATGGTCTAGTGGTTGGGATTCTGACATGGTATCAGAGCGAAGGTCTCGGGTTCGAATCCCAGTGTGTGCACCTCGGGCATCTCAGTGCGGGGGGGTGTCAGAGGTCCACTGGAGATCCCCGATTGATCCTAGGGAAGGGTTACAGGCACGTTGGCCTGGGGGGTTATCGGCGCACTGACCCGCTACTTAACAAGCCCTTTTATCCTTATGGTCTAGTGGTTGGGATTCTGACATTTTGGGGTTCGTCAATGACGTGCGCCGGTTCGTCCCCGACATGGCGAAGCTGACTGCCCCGTTGACCGACCTGCTGAGGAAGGGGGTTGAGTACACGTGGGGGGAGAAAGAGCAAGCTGCCTTCTCGGCCCTCAAAAACATTTTGTGCTCACCGCCCGTACTTCACATCGCAGATCCGCACCGTCCGTTCGAGCTCGTCACCGACGCTAGCGACATCGCTGTGGGAGCAGTACTGTCGCAGGACTTCGGGAACGGCCTTCAGCCAATCGCGTACGAGTCCCGCAAGCTTCACCCGCCCGAACGAAACTACCCGATACACGATCGCGAAATGCTGGCGATTGTGCACGCGTTCAAGGTGTGGCGATGTTACCTCACGGGAGCAGACGTGACAGTACGGACAGATCACCGATCACTACAGTACCTTCGCGCCCAACCGAATCTCAACCCACGACAGATCCGCTAGTTGGACTATCTGGAGTCCAATTTCCACTATACAGTCACGTACAAAAAAGGCGCATCCAACATCGCCGACGCACTCACACGCCCCACCGCCCACCTCCACGCCATCCTACTCGCCCAAACCAACCCACTGTTAACAGGCCTATTCACCCACAGATACAGTACTGACCCATTTTTCACGACCCGAAATTCACAGCAACTGGCAGAGGCCAGAGGAGTCTATTACGTAAAAGCATGCACCAACCGCATCTGGGTACCCGCGTATTCACTACTGAGGGAACTGCTACTGCAGGAGGCACACGACAGGATTACCCCAGGACACTTCGGGGTAGAAAAAACGCGACAGCAACTGCAGCGGTATTACTACTGGCCGGAGATGTTGACCGACGTACAGCACCACGTGGGCTCGTGTCCTACGTGTCAGGTGATGAAGAGCTCGCGAAAAAAAAAGGCGGGTCAGTTGCAGCCGATTCCACCGCCTGAGCGCGCATGGCAGCAGGTTACCATGGATTTCGTCACAGGGTTACCTTCGAACCCTGGGGGTAACGATGAGAAACTGGTCGTCGTTGACAGGTTGACGAAGATGGCACACTTCGCTGCGTGCAAGAAATCGATCTCAGCCGAAGAAACCGCTCGCCTGTTCATCGCAGCCGTCGTTCGACTGCACGCGATACCAGCCGCAATAATCTGCGACCGCGACACGAAATTCACCAGCAACTTCTGGAAGAACCTCTGGGAGCAGTTCGGGACAAGGCTACAGTTCAGCTCGTCGTACCACCCTGAGACCGACGGTCAAACGGAGCGGACGAATCAGACGATGGAGCAGTTGATTCGTGCCACATGCGACGACCCGACCACTTGGGAGCAGCAGCTGCCGCTGATCGAGATCGCGTACAACAACGCCACGTCAGCGACGACGCAGCAGTCCCCCTTCTATCTGAACTACGGGCAAAACCCTACAGTGCCCATGACGCCGAGTCCGGACAACCCAACACCACGTGCACAGCAATTCGCCGAAATTCTGCAAGCTGCCCGCACCAGAGCCGCAGAAGCAATTAAAAAAGCCAACGTCATCGCTAAGCGCAACGCTGACCGCCATCGCCGCCCAGTCACGTACCAGTCAGGAGATTACGTACTGCTCGACACGCAAAACTTAAGACTGCCCGTCGTGTCAGAATCCCAACCACTAGACCATTGGGATAAAAGGGCTTGTTTCAGTAGCGGGTCAGTGCGCCCATAACTCCCCAGGCGAACGCGCCTGTAACCCTCTCCAGGATCAATCGGGCATCCACAGTGCAGATCTACTGACACCCCCCCACACTGGGAGGCCCAGGACTAAGCACAGCGGCAACGGCCTACATGTGCATACACCGGGAATTGAACCCGAGATCGCTCTGATACCATGTCAGAATCCCAACCACTAGACCATTGGGATAAAAGGGCTTGTTTCAGTAGCGGGTCAGTGCGCCCATAACCCCCCAGGCGAACGCGCCTGTAACCCTCTCCAGGATCAATCGGGCATCCACAGTGCAGATCTACTGACACGTCGTACCGAAATTACGACCCCGCTACTGTGGACCATTCCAAATCAGCCACATGATTACCCCAGTGACAGCTCACCTACTGTTGCCGACGGACTGGTACATCAGCCCTTCATTCCACGTCAGCTTGCTTCGCCTATACATCCCAACCACAAGCCAACTGCCTCGCCACCGCCCGCCATCCATGACTCGCCCTGCATCGGACCCGATCATCGAGCCCGAAAAAATCCTGAGCCATCGGATTCGACATCCCACGGGAATCAGGAGGATTGAATTCCTCGTTCGCTGGAAGGATCGCACGCCAACTGAGGATAGCTGGGTGCCCCTGGCCAACATCGAAAACCACCCTGCCCTGCAAGTGTAAGGAATTTTCTCGAAAACCATCGGGGTTTCCGCGATATACACGCACTCGCGTAGCGGAGGGGGCTTCTTGAGGGGGGGGTAGTGTAAGGATTTTTCTCGATATTCCTTAGCACACCCTGCAACATCGCGTACAGCAGCAGCCGTTGTTCGCCCGTTACTGCTAACGGGGCTTCGCCGACTTCGCGCGCACTGTTTCACCAAACCTCGCACTGCTGGCCTGGCCGTATCGGCCTACGCTTCGGGACTAGCCAGAGCCTCGCTTCCAGCATAGCACTAGCCAGCTCGCACGCACCGCGTTACCGTTTGCATGTTTCGCGTATAAATGTTCGCTCATGCCTTCGCTCACATTTTGTACTCGTTTGACACCTTAGTGCAATTCTCGCTACTTCGATTCATTGCACCCGTAACATCGTTACTGTTTCGCACGAATTTCAAATTTCGAAACTGAAAAAAAGTCACAATTGTGGTACGGACGCTTCATCGTCTGAACCACATTCCCATCCGTCTGGACGGAGCTCCGTTGGACGTTTTAGGTGCTCCGTCCGGACATTTGACTAAAATGGAAAAAGTTACGCGCCCTAAGACCTAAAAGATTGCACTCACTGGACGAATGTAAGAAAAGGCTTGTTTGATTGTGCTCTTCAGCGTTGTTCGACTTCGACTTCGTTCGCAACCAGAAAGTGAGGTAACCTGCCCTAATCCCGCTGCCTCGCGACTCACAATTCACAGCACTCCCTGGCTCACAACCCTTCGCAAAGCACTGTTACGACGTGAGCACGGCAATTTCCGGCAGGGGCTGTCAGCATCTCAACTCCTTCCCTTGCTTTCCACGCGTTTTTGCGAAGCACACGAAGCACCACGTGGCTTCGCGAAGTGCAATGTCGATTCGCAAAGAACCACGCGGATTCGCGGACCTGCTGGGCGTGTCCCAGCCCGAGCTTTCTCTTGACGGTGCGAGATAGTTCTAGAACCACTGTCACAAGTCTCGCCACTCTTATAAATACCAATCTGATGGTGGAGGAGCCATCATTCAACCTACAATCGTCGACTACAAACAAACCAGCATACTATCAAATCAGCTTACGACGATCTCAAGACTTAGACAAAGTCTTATTTTTAAAATCGTATTAGCTTCGCCAGCACCTTATTGGACAGAGACGGTAATCAGAGAATGGCATTCGGTATGTCAGATTTGCTGTTCGATCGACAACAACCCCACGTTTTCGCACCTCCTTACGCGAGCCATTATCACTCCGAACCGTCACCTTGGAACTTTGCCTCCTCGCCCTCTCCGCTTTTTGGCGATCCCTTCCAATTCGACGATGGCTTTGACTCGCCAGCGGGGAACTTGGCGCAGAGGCGACGCAATGACACGCGGAAACATGAGACTGCGCGGAAGCAGCAAGCGCACGAGCTTAACGCGCGAAGGCAGACAGCGCGCGTGGGAAGCGCGCAGCAAGATGTGAATGGAACGAAGATTCGACAACCACGGAAGCAAGGACAAACAGTTATCCCTCAAATACCAGTCCAGCACCCAGCAAGCAATAGTAGAACGCGACCCGACGCGCCGGCAGCGTCGCCAATGGCGGGCGTCGCCCGCATTCCTGCTGCTAAAGTCGCTCCCGTATCGCTATTAACGGCTGACGATGCTGCTCGGAAGTTGCAAGCAGCATGGCGGGGCTATTCTGTGCGCCAAGGCAAGCCTCTCGAACTGGCTCGGTCCATAGCTGACGTTCGGAAACTGGTTAGCGAGATGGACGAGCAGCTTCGGGACAACGCTTTCGTGGCTTTGATGGCTTCCGACCCTATGGAGAAGCTTCGGGTGAGCGAGACGATCATGAGCTGGCTGCTTCGGTTGGACGAGGTGCAGTCCCCAAACCAGGACGTTCGGAACTTACGGCGAGACATGGCCAGGAAGCTGACGAAGCTGCTAGACAGGGTCGACATTCTCACAAGTACTCAACCACAGAAAGCTGAGGCTCCCCTTGATGTTGCCATTGACACGGGTGCTACCACAATGGATGATTCAAGAGTGGATGTAGACTCACCATGCGCGAGCAAGGATTGTTGCCATTGTGGCTGTCAATGCAGCGACAATTGCTGTATGAGCAGTGAGAGCTCTGATGTTGCCACAAGCACGCATCAGGTGGGGAGAGTGGCGAAGAGGCAAAAGCAGAGGCACTGGAGGGATGCGTTGTGGCAGTGGAAGGAGAGAATGAGTGGAAAGTGAGGTGGTGCATGCTAGTACCTAGGACTGTAAATTTTGGTACCACATACCCCTGAATACTACAAGGATACATGGGGAAATTATGAAATGTACATTTTACTATAATAATATCATGGTGTATATCAAACTACCCTAAACCCAAAGTCAAGAAACGCCAACAATACAGCACTACCGGGCATAGGGGCCTGTGAGCGTCTGACGGTGCGTGCCAGTGTCATCATACCCACCCATCCCTCCCTGCTCCACCTTAAAGTTTGACCAGTTTGACCCCGGTTGACTAGTTGAAACAGGCAAGTGGCTCCAGAGGGTTGACAAGCTGGCAACCCCTCCTGTGACTCCACTCTCAGGTGACCGGGTGGCAGAGGAATATGTTCCTGCTACTGCACTGCTGGTACGACTAGCAAATGACAGGGCAGCAGAACCGTAACCGCTGGCACGACTGGCAAGCGACACGTCAGCAGCACCGTAACCGCTGGTGCCACTTGGGACTGCCCTTACGGGGCCCACAGGAGTGCCTCCCCCAGGTAGCGCCCGGAGATGGTCCCTGATGCTGCGCAGCGCAGATACGACCTGCTCCATGTCGGGACGAAGCGAGGGGTGCTCTGCCGTGCACCACAGCGCCACCCGCAGGAACGTGCCGAACGTCTCCTCCAACCCCTCCACCATCTCCCCTGCACTCACTTCCCCTCCTGCCGCAGAAGAAACAACAGCAACGGCAGCAGCAGAAGCACTGTGAAAAGAAGCACCGTTCGACGCAGCAGCAGCAGCAGCAGCAGTAGCAGCTGCAGTAGCCTGGAGAAGGTCAGAGAGTTTGGGATCGATGGCGGCGGGCAGGCCGTCTTGGCCGAAGGCGAGGTGCAGCACGACCTGGCTGAGCGGCACTCCCTGAATGACGGGCGGCTGCCCCGTGGCCAGCTGCAGCAGCACCACCCCGAAGCTGAACACGTCACTGCGCTCCGTCAGCACCTCCGACACCGCAAAGTGTGGGTCGATGTAGCCCTGAAGGTTGGGGGGGGGGGGCGGGGAAGGGACGAGGGATAAAGGGGGAAAGGGAGCAGAATGGGAAGCTGAACACGTCACTACTGCGCTCCGTCAGCACCTCTGACACAGGGTGAGGTTGTGGGGGGTTGAATGCGGGGGTTCACAACAGAGTGAGTGAGTTGAGTGCGCAAAGTGTGGGTCGATGTAGCCATGGGGGGAAGAGTGCAGGGGGGCGGGGGCGAAGGGAGTAACGAGGAGGAGATGTGCAGGCTGGTGAAGGAGATGTGCAGGCTGGTGAAGGAGATGGATAGAGGAAATACCAATGGCCATTCCTTGGAAAAAGCAAGCATAATATAAAAAATGCATGCAGCAACAGCAATTATTCTGGTCATTCCTTGGAACAAACACAGCACTATGTGTCCTCACCTTGCTGCCAATCATCTCACCTTGCTGCCAATCCTCTCACCTTGCTGCCAATCATCTCACCTTGCTGCCAATCATCTCACCTTGCTGCCAATCATCTCACCTTGCTGCCGATGATCTCCTCCTGCACCAGCTCGCCCCTTTCTGGCAGCGACTTGGAAATGCCAAAGTCCGCCACCTTGGCTTCCAGAGATGCTGTCAGCAGAATGTTGGCGGGCTGGGGGGGAGAGGAGAGAGAGAGAGAGAGAGGGAGAGAAAAGGCAAAAGAAGGAAGTTATCAGATTAGGAACGGCGAGGATGGTAGCATATTAAATCGAAAAAAAAAAGAAAAGAAAAAACGATTGGATGGCAGCATACCTTGATAATATTTTTTTAGATATTGATAAAAATAGCCATAGCTGGTACTGTATGGCAGCGTACCTTGATATCGCGGTGGACGATGCTGGGTCTCATCTCTTTGTGCAAGTAGTGAAGCGCACTCGCCGCATCAAGTGCAATCCGCATTCTCTCCTTCCACGATAGAACGCGCCCTGTCTTACCTGCAACAAAATTCATGATAAACAGAATGATATATTAAAATGGAAGAAAAAATATATCTTTCCATGATAGAATGCGCCCTATCTTGCATTCAAGGTAGTGCCGAACAGAATTGAAAAACAAAGTACGGGACATTACATACAAATGCTTCCAACAAGGTTTAAGGCAAAATCAAGCGGTGTCAAACCTTGCACCACACACCCAACCGCACACAACCGCACTACATCCCATGCCAGCCCACCTTTGATCCAGGCGCGCCCCCCTCCATGAATTCAAACACCAGCAGCTGCTCGTCCTTCTCCACACAGAAGCAAACCCTTGCTCCACACACCCAACCGCACACAACCACACTGCATCCACTGTCAACCCACCCACCTTTGATCCAGGCGTCCAGAGCCCCCCCCTCCATGAATTCGAACACCAGCAGCTGCTCGTCCTTCTCCACACAGAAGCCGGTGAGCTTCACCAGGTTGCCGTGCGACACCGCCGTCAGCATCTCGATCTCGTTCTTGAAATCCACTCCTGCATGCCGATGCTTCTCCGTTGCTTTCTTTATCGCCACCGACTCGCCGTTGAGAATGCCATGGTACACCTGGATAAGAGCGAAGGAAACGGTTTGGTTTTTGAGGGGCCTAAAAAATTGTCTCATGACTCGCGGATTTTATACAGGGAGAATTGAGAATGCCATGGTACACTTGGAGATGAGCAAGGGAAACAAGTATACGAGAGAGAGAGATACATTCCTGAGAACGCCTCAGTACACATACCCATCATGTCCCAAGTATGAAATGCTTGGGGACAAGATAATAAAGAACGGCAAATGAGATGGACTGGAGAAGAGAGAAAATCGACTGGGAAAATGCGTTATTTGGCCTCAAATTCACCTTGCCATAACCTCCCATGCGCAACACCAGTGAGTCATCAAAGCCACTGGTTGCCTTCGCCAGAGAACTCTATTTCAAGATAAAATGTTACCCTCTCAGGAACACACGAAGACTGTCTTCCTCTCCCTCCCAGATTCACCTTGCGGTAACCGCCCGTGCCCAGCACGAGAGAGTCAACAAGGACATTAGTTGCCTCTGTCAGCTAACAAAAACTATCTGCACACCTCTCCCTTCCAACACTGTTCCACCCTCTCAAGAGCCACAAAAAATGCCTTCCTCTCCCTCCCTCCTCGCCTTCACCTTGCTGTAACCGCCCGTGCCCAGCACAAGCGAGTCATCAAAGCCGTTGGTTGCCTCCGCCAGCTGTCGCAGCGTTTCCACCTCTCATGCCCTTCCGGACCCTCTCATCTCATGCTGTCCTGTGCCCTCTCACACGGTCACACCTACCTTGCCGTAACCGCCCGTGCCCAGCACAAGCGAGTCATCAAAGCCGTTGGTCGCCTCCGCCAGCTGTCGCAGCGAGTAGCGGCGGGCGTGCTGCAGGGTGATTCCCTCCAATGCCTCGTAGTCCGCACGGTTCCACCCTGAAAGGAGGAAAGAGGGAGTAGGTGGGCGGGATGAACGTGTGAGAGGGATGGTGGAGCGGGGGGTGGAGAAGAGGGGTCAATGAGGGGTCAATGAGGGGTCAATGAGGGGTCAATGAGGGGTCAATGAGGGGTCAATGAGGGGTCAATGAGGGGTCAATGAGCGGAAGCAGGGTGATGCCCTGCACTCCAAGGCCTCGTAGTCCACATGGCTCCACCCTGCGGTGAGAGGATGAATGGGTGCGAGGGGTGCGGGAGGGGTTTGGGAGGGGATTTGGAGGGGATTGGGAGGGGATTGGGAGGGGATTGGGAGGGGATTGTGAGGGGATTGTGAGGGGATCGGGAGGGGATTGGAGGAACATGGATGGGAGTTGATGAAAGGATCAACTGCCGGTTGGTGCAATTCCATGCCCGTAGTGCCAGAGCACCTGAAAGGGCAACAGGGCGAAATCTATGGTACGAGGAAAGAGGGGTGTGAGCCTGGGAGGACATGCTCCATGCCAAACTGTTCTCTACCACACATACCAATTTGTTGATTTGTTTTTTGTCTAGAAATATATGATTCTGTCAGCTTGGAAAACTATGTACCGCATGCCTATTATATTCAGCCGTCCATTGAAGGGTCACGGATGGTCTTGAAATTGCCTAAAATTGAGTTTTACACACTGAAATGTGTAACACACATCTGCAAAATGACATAGATAATGTAATTCAAATTGTTGTCATGCTCTGTATTCTGCAGCAATGACTCAAAAGTAGACCCCTCACCTCTCTCCTCGCTCACACCACGCACACCTCTCCACGAGAGTGATGACAACAGAAGAGGAATCTGACTCAAAGAAAAAACCACTCACTTCGCTTCTCCCAGGGGCGCATGAGCAGAGCCACAATGAGGGCGATGGCAACAGCAGCGCAGCACACTGAGATGGCCACGATGGCGCCCGTGCTCAGCCCAGACGAGGGCTGCTGCTGTGATGGGGAGTTGTAGGCTGTTTATGGAAGGAGAGGAGGGAAGGGACACGCAGGTGAAGGAGAAGAGAGAAGGGACAAGGGAGCACACTGAGATGGCAACGATAGCGGCGGTGCTCAGCCCAGACGAGCTCTGCTGCTGTGGTGAGGGGTTGTAGGCTGTATAGGGAAGGAGAGAGGGGAATGGACACGCAGGTGAAAGGGAAAAAATAAGAGACGAGAGAGGATTGTACGGGTAGGACGAAGAGGAGAGAGGTTGGCACAAAAGCAGAAGCTGTCAGCTGGGAGAAACAAAGAGACAACTGCCAACAATCAGTAAAGGGACGGTCACCAATAGTGGAATAATGCAGCTCATGAACACACACAATCACGTCATCAGACGTCTCGACAAAAGCATGGAACCAGACTCACGCGCCGGGCCGTAAAATCCCGCGTTTCCAAACAGCCTAAAGTTGCCGAGAGCAACGCGCACAGCAAGGTCCCGCGAGGTGAGGGCGTTGCGGATAGCCTGCGGTGTGTCTAGCGAGACGGGACATACTCCAACCAATGCATCTCACGTGCTAGACAATATGGCAAACTCACGCGCGGGGCCGTAGAAGCCCGCAACTCGAAACAACCCAAAGTTGCCGAGAGCAACGCGCACAGCAAGGTCCCTCGAGGTGAGCGCGTTGCAGATGGCCTGCGGTGTGTCTCGCGGGTACCAGCTGTTGTCGCCGCCCGGAGGGAAGAAGAGGAGGGTGATGATGAGCGTTGACTCGTGATCGGCGTGGTCCGAGGCGAAGGTGGAGGCGAGGGAGTAGAGAGAGGCGGGGCTGCTGATGGCCGAGATGAGGAGCTGGTGGGGAGTGATGGGAGGAGGGAGGAAAAGGAGGGAGAATGGATGAGTAATCAAGTCCTAGATTCGTGGGTGGTGCGCTCTGGGGATGCCCTGGGGTGTGGTATGTTGCAGGGGGGTCATCAGAAATTGTTGGCCCCTGGGGGGGAAGAAGAGGAGGGTGATGATGAGCATGGACTCATGATCGGCGTGGTCCGAGGCGAAGGTGGAGGCGAAGGTGGAGGCGAGCGAGGAGATAGAGGCAAGGCTGCTGATAGCAGAGATGAGGAGCTGGTGGGTGTGAGAGGGGAAGGGAGTGACAGGGACGGAAAGGGACCTCGGTGATGGACAGAAAGGGACAATCAGACAGAAAGGTGGAGGCGAAGGTGGAGGCGAGCGAGGAGAGAGAGGCGGGGCTGCTGATAGCCGAGATGAGGAGCTGGTGGGTGTGAGAGGGGAAGGGAGTGACAGGGACGGAAAGGGACCTCGGTGATGGACAGAAAGGGACAATCAGACAGAAAGGTGGAGGCGAAGGTGGAGGCGAGTGAGGAGATAGAGGCGGGGCTGCTGATAGCAGAGATGAGGAGCTGGTGGGTGTGAGAGGGGAAGGGAGTGACAGGGACAGAAAGGGACCTCGGTGATGGACAGAAAGGGACAATCAGACAGAAAGGTGGAGGCGAAGGTGGAGGCGAGCGAGGAGATAGAGGCGGGGCTGCTGATGGCAGAGATGAGGAGCTGGTGGGGAGTGATGGGAGGAGGGAGAAAAAGGCGAGAGAATGGATGAGAAATCAAGTCCTGGATTCGTGGGTGGTGCGCTTTGGGGATGCCCTGGGGTGTGGTATGTTGCAGGGGAGTCATCAGACATTGTTGCCCCCTGGTGAGTTTTGAGTCGACTCAAAACTCTTTGGGGATGCCCTGGGGTGTGGTATGTTGCAGGGGGATCATCAGCAATTGTTGCCCCCTGGGGGGGAAGAAGAGGAGGGTGATGATGAGCATGGACTCATGATCGGCGTGGTCTGAGGCGAAGGTGGAGGCGAGCGAGGAGAGAGAGGCGGGGCTGCTGATGGCCGAGATGAGGAGCTGGTGGTTGTGAGAGGGACAGACAGAAGGGAAGAGATGGTGACGAAGAGAAGTGACTGATGCATGTGTGGTGTGCTCCGCAGGAAAGGATGATGCGAGTGATCGATCAGTGGAAGGTCGGGCTGCTGATGATGGCTGTAGATAGTACCAAACTTAATCTCAGGTAACGCACTTAAGTAACGCACTTCTACTTGGTATCAAACATAAGCTTAAGTAACGCACTTATACTTCGCACTCGTCGTACCTCTCAACCGACCTGGCCAAAAAGATGGGTCGGATCGGGTAAGGTCGACGTGATCTGACTGTGCCATTCGAGATTACCCCCGTGTTGCTAATATTGAAGGCTCACCTGGGACCGGCTGATGTTGATCTGAGACTTGCTGGTGAGCTCTGAGAAGATCCGCTCCTCCAGCTGCTGCAGCTCCGAGTAAACCCAGAGGGTAACTGCCCTCCGGCCCAAATACTCGTGTTCCCCTGAGATTTCCTTGACAACTCACTTGCGTTTTGAGACGTCTCAAAACACTTCTTCAAATACTCGTGTTCCCCTGGGCCTGGGATTTCCTAGACAACTCACTTGCGACCGGCTGATGTTGATCTGCGCCTTGCTGGTGAGCTCCGAGAAGATCCGCTGCTCTAACTGCAGCTCAGATTAAACCCAGGAGTGAACTGTTGAAGTTGATCCAGGTGTAGTCTACATGACCCACCTGTGGCCTGCTGATGTTGATCTGCGACTTGCTGGTGAGCTCCGAGAAGATCCGCTGCTCTAACTGCAGCTCAGATTAAACCCAGGAGTGAACTGTTGAAGTTGATCCAGGTGTAGTCTACATGACCCACCTGTGGCCTGCTGATGTTGATCTGCGACTTGCTGGCGAGCTCCGAGAAGATCCGCTGCTCTAACTGCGCCACCAGCGCCTCATGGTACACCACGAAATCCGATATAAACAGCTCCAGGTCGGCTCTTAACGGGGACACGCACACGCAGGAGAGCGACTCATTATAGAGCGGTGCGCTAGGGCTGTAGAGGTCGTTCTCGCAGGCGAGGCCGTCACAGAAAGCAGGGGCGGTGTATTGGGTGAGGGGCGTCGGAGGGGAGCAGACTTGCGTGTAGTCTGGCTTGAATGGCTTGCACAGATCGTTGTTAAAAAGCCTGGGGGGGGGGGAGGGGGGGGGGATGGGAGGTGGGGAAAAGAATGTGTCCTGGGTGAGGGTGGGTCTGGGGGAGCAGGATTGCAGCTAGTCTGTGTGAGGGGGGTCGGAGGGGAGCAGACTTGCGTGTAGCCTAGATTGAATGGCTTGCAGAGACCGTTGTTGAAAAGCCTGGAGGAATGGGAGGGCAAAGGAAGGCAGGGAGATGCAGGGGACATAGGGAGATGGGAAAGGCGAGGAGAAAGTAGAAGGGGAGGAGGAGGAAGGAGAGGAGGAGCAGGGAATAAGGGAGCAGGGAAACAAGGGGGTTGAAAAGAGAAGCTGGAAAAGAGAGAGTGCAAATCTGAGGGTGGAACAGAGGGGTTGCTATAACATCGATGGCAGCAGCAGCACTGTTGTGTTCAGGTACTGACTGTGAGGGTGACACGCTGTTCAGGGGGGTGCTAGAAAGGCCACTCAGTAGAGTGAGGGAAGCACACTAGAAGGCGGCATACACACTCACTGCAGCGTGATGTTGGTTTCGGCGAGCATGGCGGGTGGCACGGAGGAGAGGGAGTTGTTAAAGAGGGAGAGCATGCCCAAAGACGCAGTCACTCACTGCAGCGTGATGTTGGTTTCGATAAGCAGGGCGGGCGGCAGGGAGGAGAGGGAGTTGTCAAAGAGGGAAAGCGACACGATGCTGGGCAGCGATGAGAGGTCCGGCAGGGGACCGCTGAGCTGGTTGCCTGATAGGAAGCTGGAACAAAGGGAGAAGGGAGAGGGGAGATGGATGGAAGGGATTGAGGGAGAAAATGAGGAAGTGAGGAAATAAGGGGGCACGGGGGTGTTTATGCCTTGCATACAGAGGGAGTGGGGGAGATGGTTGAGGTTGTTTGCGCTCTTACTCACATCTATTGCAAATTGGCGGCAGTAGTGATTTCTGAAAGGAAATGAGTTGACCTTTGAGTCGACTCAAATGTCAACTTAGCAGATCTTCCACTCACACGGATTGCAGCTTGGCAGCAGTAGTGATTTCTGGGGGTAAACTCGAGTCAAGAGCGTTGTTGGCCAGATTGCTGCATATGGAAGAGGGAGGGAAGTAGGAGGGAGAGAGGAGGGAAGGGGGGCGGGTGGGGAAGAATAAGATGAGCTTCGCGTTGTTGGCCAGATTGCTGCCAATGGAAGAGGGAAAGAAATAGGAGGGAGAGAGCAAGGGAGGGGGGCGGGGGTTGGAGATCAAGATGAGCTTCGCGTTGTTGGACAGACTCCTGCAGACGGATAGAGGGAGGAGAGAAAGAGGAGGGGTCATGACAAGGAGCAGGGCGAGGGGTCGGTTAAATTGGAAGTTATGCCTCAAACCAAGTGCATGGCATGGGGTGCATGGCATGGGGTGCATGGCATGGGGTCATGGCATGCGGTGCATGGCATGGGGTCATGGCATGGGGTGCATGGCATGGGGTCATGGCATGGAGTGCATGGCATGGGGTCATGGCATGGGGTGCATGGCATGGGGTCATGGCATGGGGTGCATGGCATGGGGTGCATGGCATGGGGTCATGGCATGGGGTGCATGGCATGGGGTGCATGGCATGGGGTCATGGCATGGTGTACATGGCATGGGGTCATGGCATGGTGTGCATGGCATGGGGTCATGGCATGGTGTGCTGTGCAGGAGTGAGGCGGACATGAGGGAGGACATGTTGTGATATAGTTTCTTATTGCAGATTATTAACAATCAGCATGGTGCATGGGATGGCATGGGAGAAAGGCACACAAGTAAGAAGGGCACGAGTTGATAAACTGACAGGTTGACGAGGTTGGGGTGCTGCTCAAACAGAATCTTGAGTCAACTCAAAACAATCAGAGAAGGTGAACTGACAGGTTGACGAGGTTGGGGTGCTGCTCAAACAGAGTGCCAGGAATGGCGCCTGTGAAGCTGTTGCTGCTCAGGTCGCTGCGAGGGGGGAGGGGGAGCAGCGACAGGGAGGGGGAGGGGGGCAGGGAGGAGGGGTGGAGGGGGGGAAGGCGGGCAGCGGCACAAGGAGGAGAGGGGCGAGCGAGTGAAGGGGAGGGGTAAAGAGTGACGGGGAGCAGGGACAGAGATGGAACCTGTTGCTGCTCAGGTTATTGCGATGTGCGGCAGCGGAAGCAGGGACAGAGATGGAAAGGGGAGAGGGACGGGGAGAGGCAAATCGTGCCTGGGATGGGGCCTGAGAACCTCTTGGTGCTCGATCTGTGACTACTTTTGAGACGACCCAATCAAAAGTCCACGCAGATCATGTGACCACATGGCATGCGACCATGGTGTTTGGCGTTCCACAGGACATGTCACCAACTCGACAATGCCCTCTCAGATTGGAACATGACTTTCTTTTTCCACTCCCCAGGATGGATAGATTGGTCGTGGCCAAGGTTCAAAATTACGACCGAATTATTGGAAATTCTCCGTATAATAAGGTATCGTATAATACGAGCGTATAATACGGTTTAAAACGGTAGATTGTGGGTTTTTTTGTTTGGTTCAAAAATACGACCGTATAATTCGACCGAAATTTTGAAAACGAGTCTGTGTATATCGAAACGCAAAATTTCCCACCCGTGGATAACCCAAACTCAAATTTCTCTGACATCCGTACACACGAATGTGCGTTTTCCCCGAGTCGCAAATGTCACGACTTCAGCGCGTCGCGACATTTGGGCATTTGGCGACGCCCACATCCAGTTTACATGTTTCGCCACCACGTTGGCATTAGTCGCCGAAGGGGAACGTGTTCTATTTCCCGAGGCGCGACTCTGCAACAGTTGGCGAAGGTTACCCATTCGATCGCACGTATCGTTTTCCCCGTTCAACATTTTCGCGCAGCGGAGGTTTTTTTCGCCCGCAGTCGCGACACATCCAAAAGTGGCGGTGCGAAACCAAGCCAACCAATCGGAATACGTCCCTTGCGCTCAACCCTTTCCCAAACCCACTCGACACAACACGCCCAGTTTCCACTACGAGGTACTTAGTAGCTTTGTTTAGTCACTCCTAATCCTATGCATAGCACTAGTCTAGTCTTCAGTGTGCTCCACCAGGGTTCGTGCCAGTCAGGGCATACGCCATGGCGAGGCAGAAATCGCCGCTGTGGAAACACGTTACAACGGCGAAGGGACCAGACGGCACTTTAACGGCGAAATGCGTACATTGCTCAAACTCCGTGACTGCTAATGCAACACGCATAGGAGAGCACATCTATGGGACGCCTTCTGACCATGATAAGAATGTGAAGCCGTGCGGCCACGAAGTCGCCATCAAACTTCGCGAGGAAGCAGCAGCAGCTAGTGAGCGTTCTGGAAGCGCCAGTCCGTCAATCCATGGCTCCACTTCGACCCTCGACATCCAGCCCGCTCGTCGCACTCGGCAGCGGGACATCCGCCACATGGTGGATGACTCTGCACGCGCTCGACTGGACTACCTATGGGCCGCTGCAGTGGCTGATAACGATTGGGCGTTCCACACGTCCAAGTCGCCAGCCGTGCAGAACTTCGTGGATGCGGCTGTTGCCTACGGGAAACAATACAACCTCCCGTCCCCCTTCAGGGTTTCTGGTGTGCTGCTTCAGAAACTGGTTGCGGATACCGAGGACATTGTACGGCCCCTGAAGGAGAGTTGGAATCGTCTCCGTCGGCGCCAGCGCGCCTTCCCCGCGCAGCAGGGGAATCGTCTCCGTCGGCGCCAGCGCGCCTCCCGCCTCCCCGCGCAGCAGGGGAATCGTCTCCGTCGGCGCCAGCGCGCCTCCCGCCTCCCCGCGCAGCAGGGGAATCGTCTCCGTCGGCGCCAGCGCGCCTCCCGCCTCCCCACGCAGCAGGGGAATCGTCTCCGTCGGCGCCAGCGCGCCTCCCGCCTCCCCGCGCAGCAGGGGAATCGTCTCCGTCGGCGCCAGCGCGCCTCCCGCCTCCCCGCGCAGCAGGGGAATCGTCTCCGTCGGCGCCAGCGCGCCTCCCGCCTCCCCACGCAGCAGGGGAATCGTCTCCGTCGGCGCCAGCGCGCCTCCCGCCTCCCCGCGCAGCAGGGGAATCGTCTCCGTCGGCGCCAGCGCGCCTTCCCCGCGCAGCAAGGGAATCGTCTCCGTCGGCGCCAGCGCGCCTCCCGCCTCCCCGCGCAGCAGGGGAATCGTCTCCGTCGGCGCCAGCGCGCCTCCCGCCTCCCCGCGCAGCAGGGGAATCGTCTCCGTCGACGCCAGCGCGCCTCCCGCCTCCCCACGCAGCAGGGGAATCGTCTCCGTCGGCGCCAGCGCGCCTCCCGCCTCCCCGCGCAGCAGGAGAATCGTCTCCGTCGGCGCCAGCGCGCCTCCCGCCTCCCCGCGCAGCAGGGGAATCGTCTCCGTCGGCGCCAGCGCGCCTTCCCCGCGCAGCAGGGGAATCGTCTCCGTCGGCGCCAGCGCGCCTCCCGCCTCCCCGCGCAGCAGGGGAATCGTCTCCGTCGGCGCCAGCGTGCCTCCCGCCTCCCCGCGCAGCAGGGGAATCGTCTCCGTCGGCGCCAGCGCGCCTCCCGCCTCCCCGCGCAGCAGGGGAATCGTCTCCGTCGGCGCCAGCGCGCCTCCCGCCTCCCCGCGCAGCAGGGGAATCGTCTCCGTCGGCGCCAGCGCGCCTCCCGCCTCCCCGCGCAGCAGGGGAATCGTCTCCGTCGGCGCCAGCGCGCCTCCCGCCTCCCCGCGCAGCAGGGGAATCGTCTCCGTCGAGCTCTTCCTCTTCGCCGTCAACGCTTGGCGCATCCATGTCCACGTCGTCATCCACTCCGTGCTGGCCTCCTGCCAGATCCCACGGATCGCTGGCTGCGGGCTGCCTTCTCGGCTCCGATCTGATGTACAGATCCCCTCCGCGTCCTCCAGCACGCACGCCCACGGGCGTAACCAGATCTGCGCGATACGCCGCCCGTCGTGGCGAGCGCGTTGGCGACCTCCCTCGCGACGGAGAGCGTTCCCGCCGCGAAAACATTTGCTGCATGCGCAGCTCATGGCGATCCATATCGCCGGCCCTTGTTCTCTCGACTTGTGAGAAGTTCACTCTCCCACACGATGGCTGCCCACAGTGGCGTAGTCACCTAGCTAGAGTAGCCTTGTTGCGGTAACGTTATCCACTATATGAGGCAAACAAGTCGAGAGAACAAGATTGCTTTGCTAGGCTAGGCTACTTGTGCCTGGCTTCCCAGTCGCACAGTTCTCTGCGTGATGGGTTGGGCCCGAGCCGCCTGGGCCTTGGATTGGCCCTCACCAGATTTCCTGTCTCCAAATGTCCCTGGAATTGCACCCGCAGCGCCCTGCAACCCCCAATGCTACCAACCCTTCGCTTCTCCCAACACCCAACTACCTCCCCTATAGGTTGAATAGCAATTGCTACAGCACTTCTACACCTCAATTAGCGTATGTCCAGAATATGATGTACTTACCATTATATTCGGTGACAAGAGGAAGGAGACGGGGTGTCACTCACAGGTGCCCGAGCTCGTTGGCACCATCGAATGTCGGCAGAGCCCCTTCCAGCTGGTTCTCCATGACGTCAAGCATGTAAAGGCGCGGGAGGGTGCCTATCTGTGCAGGCGGGGGCGGGTGTCACTCACAGGTGCCCGAGCTCGTTCGCACCCTCGAATGTCGGCAGGGGCCCTTCCAGCTGGTTCTCCATGACGTCAAGCATGTAGAGCTGGGGGAGGGTGCCTATCTGTGCAGGCAGGGAGCCCGAGAGGCGGTTCTGGTTGACCAGGAAGTAGCTCAGGCTGGTGAGGCGACCGATGGTGGATGGGATGGAGCCGGATAGGCGGCACCCGTGCATGTCCCTGCATGCAATTGCGCGGGGCGAGAGGAGGGGAGGAAGGAAGAGGCGGTTGTGGTTGACCAGGAAGTATCTGAGGCCGATGGTGGATGGGATGGTGCCGGACAGGCCGCACCCGTGCACGTCCCTGCGTGTCATTGAGGGGGGCATGAGAAGGGGAGGAATGAAGAGGTTGTGGTTGACCAGGAAATATCTGAGGCTGGTAAGCCGCCCTATGGTGGAGGGAGGGCTTTTGAGACGTCTCAGTGGATGGGATGGAGCCTGATAGGCCGCACCCGTGCATGTCCTGCTTGGTTTGTTGGTTTTGAGGGGGTTGCAGGAGTTGGAGTGAGGGGGGCGTGAGAAGGGGAGGAAGGAAGTAGTTGAGGCTGGTGAGGCGCCCTATGGTGGATGGGATGGAGCCGGACAGACAGGCCGCACCCGTGCATATCCCTGCGTGTCATTGCACAGGGCGAGAGGAGGGGAGGAAGGAAGAGGCAGTTCTGGTTGACCAGGAAGTATCTGAGGCTGGTGAGTCGGCCTATGGTGGCGGAAATGGAGCCCGATAGGCCGCACCCGTGCATGCCCCTGCTTGTTGTTAAAGGGGGGCGTGAGAAGGGGAGGAAGGAAAGAGGCGGTTGTGGTTGACCAGGAAGTATTTGAGGCTCGTTAGGCTGGTTGGTGAGTCGCCCGATGGTGGATGGGATGGAGCCGGACAGGCCACACCCGTGCATGGTCCTGCTTGTCATTGAGGGGGGTTGTGGTCGACCAGGAAGTATTTGAGGCTGGTGAGGCTGGTGTGGCTGGTTGGTGAGTCGCCCTATGGTGGATGGGATGGAGCCGGACAGGTTGCAACCGTGCACGTCGCTACTTGTTGTTGATGGGGGGGAAAGGGAGGGGCCGTAGATGGGGTGAGGGAAGAGGAGGGGGGGAGGAAGTTCAGATAGCCTGTGTGCTTACAAACAAACAATGTGTATGCTTATATCAGAGATGAAGTGTGCTTACAGCGCAGCAGTGTGCTTACAGCGCAGCAGAGCAGAGAGATCTCACAGCGTGGTGAGCTGGAGGAGGTTCCCGAGTGCATCTGGAAAGCTGCCCGTCAGATTTGGGTTGAGCGCCAGATTGCTGAGGGAGACAGATGGGGGGCAGGAGAGGGGAGGGGAGGCGGACGAAGATTGCTGTGAGATGGAAGCCTTACCATGAGCTTAAAAATAAGTGAGGGTGCAACTGGGAGGGGGAGGAAGGAGGGATGGAAACTCACAGCGAGCGAAGTGATGTGAGGTTAAAAATGGAAGGCGGCAAATTTCCTGCTAAATTGACTTTGGAGTCGACTCAAAAGCCACCCCGGATGGGCATGGGATGGCATGGCAACTCACAGCAAGCGCAGCGATGTGAGGTCGAAAATGGAAGGCGGCAAGTCTCCTGATAGATTGGCATCTTGAATGTCACTGAGGGAGGAGTGTGAAAATGCAAAGGGGAACGACAGGGTAGGGGGGTGCGGGGTGGAGAGAAACAGAATGAGGCAAGCGGTGGGAGAGATCCGTGGGCTTGCTTGCTGGGGCCGAATCTCGTCGTCGAATCTCTTGCATGAGGCATCTGGTGGAAGAGAATTCACACAATACGTCTGATAAAAGTAGATTTTTGAGACGTCTCAAGACGTCGCACTTGATGTCACGCGCACGCTCTGCAAGCACACTCAGCCAGCCAACATGCTCGCTTCTTCTGCCCCACCACACCACACGGGTCAACCACCACCCCTCCAGGCACAAGTCGCCGCCATGTTTCCGATTGGTTTACGCTGTCATCTTGTGGATCGTCCCAAAGGTCACTGGATTTATACTTTGGAGCAGCTCAGCTCAGGGTGGAAAAGAGGGGCGATAGCACAGAGGAAAATGCAAGGAACGGAAGGTTCGGAATATCGTTTGAGTGGGGCTGGCCTTCGAGAAGCAACAGGAATGTTGTTGACAACTTGGCATGGCTCCAATCACCTGGCATGGCTCCAATCACCTGGCATGGCTCCAATCACCTGGCATGGCTCCAATCACCTGGCATGGCTCCAATCACCTGGCATGGCTCCAATCACCTGGCATGGCTCCAATCACCTGGCATGGCTCCAATCACCCGGCATGGCTCCAATCACCCGGCATGGCTCCAATCACCTGGCATGGCTCCAATCACCTGGCATGGCTCCAATCACCTGGCATGGCTCCAATCACCTGGCATGGCTCCAATCACCCGGCATGGCTCCAATCACCTGGCATGGCTCCAATCACCCGGCATGGCTCCAATCACCCGGCATGGCTCCAATCACCAGAGGCAACGCTGGAAGGGAACAAACCTCCATGAGTCCTCCAGACTAGAAGTAAGGTTGGTAAAGAAAAGAATGACAAAGAACAGCTGTCGAGAGTGGGATTTGAACCCACGCCCTTTCGGACTGGAACCTTAATCCAGCGCCTTAGACCAACTCGGCCATCTCGACACGGAAGCCGAGAAATCTGTCATTTATTCGACAGATGAATCTGACAGTGTCTTGTCAAGTTGCCAGCCCACGCTCTCCCCCCACCACCCCCCACATGGGTCTTCCCCGCCCAAGCACAGAGCACCCACACTCTCCTCCCCATCTGCTGTACACGGGTCATCCCCCCTCCAAGGACAGAGCACCACCCTATTGCCCCTGCACTCACATCTCAGCCACAGTGTTATATGGTTTGCCAGTGCTACATTTGACGCCAGCCCATGCCCTCACTGCATCGCACCACTGCACTGGTTGTCCCCCGTCCAAGCACAAGTAAGAATCCCATTATCCCACTGCCCCTCGCTGCCCACTGCTCTTCACTGCACTCACATCTCAGCAACTGTACTGTACGGGCTGCCAGTGCCGCAATTGATGCCAGCCCATGCGCTCCCTGCATCTGCCATCTCACACGGGCACAAAGCACCACCACCCCAGTCCCCCAAGCTGCACTCACATCTCAGTCACGGAATTATACGGGCTGCCAGTGTCGCACTTGATGCCAGCCCACGCGCTCCCCGCCTCTCCCCCACACGGATCATCCCCCGTCCACGCGTTGAACGGGGGGCTGCTGGGGTTGCCTAGAGCCGCGAAGGTCTTAAGAGCGGCCACTGGAATAAGGGGCGAGGGAAGGAGGGGAACGCAAAGAAGGATTTGTTGTGCGTCGACTCAAGAGTGCATGGGCATGGCCGCACAGTGCATCAGCTGTGCATGACATGAGGCATGTCTTGGGGCTGCTGGGGTTGCCTAGAGCAGTGAAGGTTCTCGGAATGGCCGCTGGATGGCGGGGTGAGCAGGAGAGGAATACCAGAAGGCCCGAGGCATGGGCATGGGCATGAGCATGAGCATATGAGCATGAGCATATGAGCACGAGCATATGAACATGGGCATATGAGCACGAGCATATGAGCATGAGCACATGAGCATGAGCAAAAGAGCATGAGCATATGAGCATGAGCATGAGCATTGTCGGAGAATCATCCTCTGTTGCATCCCGTGGCTTGCCTGCTCCTTCCTGGACTCACCCTCGCTCCCTTCTTCTTCTGAGCTCTGTTCCTGTGATACCTTACCTGCTCTGCCTCAGCCACTACCTGCCCCCTCCAGAGCTCGTGCTCGGGTCTCCCGTGCACGTGTCACTGGACACTCTTGCTGAGGCCGGTTGCCTTTCACCACAGCAGCATTCGTCAGGTGGTACCCTGTCTACTCTCTTCTCTGATTCCTCAGCACCAGCACTCTTGAACCCCTCAGGTCCTTCGTCTCCCTTCTCTGCGTGTCTGGTGCCACTTTCCGAGTATCCCCCTTTGCAGGTAGGCTTCCTGTCCCCCTTCACTGCTGTAGCTGTCGTTTTTGCCGCCCTGTTTCAGTCGCTGCTTGTGCCTGTGGGTGTGCATTTCTCAACTCTACTGTACGCATGACCTCCGCCGCTGCCGTTTTCTCCTCCTCCAGGTATTCTGCTGCCTTGGCTCCCTCCCTTGCCACCCAGTCCTCAGCCCCTTTCATTCCCGCTGGTCCTGACAGCACCTGTGTTGCTGGCTGCATCGGCTCATCTTCCCATCTTCCCATCTTCCCATATTCCCATCTTCCCATCTTCCCATCTTCCCATCTTCCCATCTTCCCATCTTCCCATCTTCCCATCTTCCCATCTTCCCATCTTCCCATCTTCCCATCTTCCCATCTTCCCATCTTCCCATCTTCCCATCTTCCCATCTTCCCATCTTCCCATCTTCCCATCTTCCCATCTTCCCATCTTCCCATCTTCCCATCTTCCCATCTTCCCATCTTCCCATCTTCCCATCTTCCCATCTTCCCATCTTCCCATCTTCCCATCTTCCCATCTTCCCATCTTCCCATCTTCCCATCTTCCCATCTTCCCATCTTCCCATCTTCCCATCTTCCCATCTTCCCATCTTCCCATCTTCCCATCTTCCCATCTTCCCATCTTCCCATCTTCCCATCTTCCCATCTTCCCATATTCCCATCTTCCCATCTTCCCATCTTCCCATCTTCCCATCTTCCCATCTTCCCATCTTCCCATCTTCCCATCTTCCCATATTCCCATATTCCCATATTCCCATATTCCCATATTCCCATATTCCCATATTCCCATATTCCCATCTTCCCATCTTCCCATCTTCCCATCTTCCCATCTTCCCATCTTCCCATCTTCCCATCTTCCCATTTTCCCATATTCCCATCTTCCCATCTTCCCATCTTCCCATCTTCCCATATTCCCATATTCCCATATTCCCATATTCCCATATTCCCATATTCCCATCTTCCCATCTTCCCATCTTCCCATCTTCCCATCTTCCCATCTTCCCATCTTCCCATATTCCCATATTCCCATCTTCCCATCTTCCCATCTTCCCATCTTCCCATCTTCCCATCTTCCCATCTTCCCATCTTCCCATCTTCCCATCTTCCCATCTTCCCATCTTCCCATATTCCCATCTTCCCATATTCCCATCTTCCCATCTTCCCATCTTCCCATCTTCCCATATTCCCATATTCCCATCTTCCCATCTTCCCATCTTCCCATATTCCCATATTCCCATATTCCCATATTCCCATATTCCCATATTCCCATATTCCCATATTCCCATATTCCCATATTCCCATCTTCCCATCTTCCCATATTCCCATCTTCCCATCTTCCCATATTCCCATCTTCCCATCTTCCCATCTTCCCATCTTCCCATCTTCCCATCTTCCCATCTTCCCATCTTCCCATCTTCCCATATTCCCATCTTCCCATCTTCCCATCTTCCCATATTCCCATATTCCCATCCTCCCATATTCCCATATTCCCATATTCCCATATTCCCATATTCCCATATTCCTCGCGTAATCCACCTTACTGTCTTCACGGCCTCTTTTCCTTCCGGGCTCATCGCACCTCCCATTGTATGCCCTACTTCTTCCCCTGCAGGCGGACACTCCCATGCCCCCATTTCCTTGCTCTCACTCTCTGCTTCCTCCTGCTCCTGGGCTTTATCCCACACTGAACCTTCCCATCCTCCTACCCGTAGGTCTCCTTGCCCCCAGTCGCACGCCATCTCTACCTTCATGCTCCTCACACCTGTCTTCGTTCTTCTCGCGGCTTCTTTCACCATTTTCTCCCCCAGCAGCTGTGAATGTTCTTCCCTCAGCTTCCTCACATGCCGGTTCGTCATCATACTTCCCTGCACTTGCTTCTCTGCCTTTAGTTCACACGACCGTGCCCCCACCTTCTCGTCCTTCCATTCTGCCTTCGCTGCTGCTGTTACACACGCTCCCGCCCCCACCTGCTCTTCCTTTTCCTCTGCCTTCGCTGCTGCTGTTACACACGCTCCCGCCCCCACCTGCTCTTCCTTTTCCTCTGCCTTCGCTGCTGCTGTTACACACGCTCCCGCCCCCACCTGCTCTTCCTTTTCCTCTGCCTTCGCTGCTGCTGTCACACACACTCCCGCCCCCACCTGCTCTTCCTTTTCCTCTGCCTTCGCTGCTGCTGTTACACACGCTCCCGCCCCCACCTGCTCTTCCTTTTCCTCTGCCTTCGCTGCTGCTGTCACACACACTCCCGCCCCCACCTGCTCTTCCTTTTCCTCTGCCTTCGCTGCTGCTGTTACACACGCTCCTGCCCCCACCTGCTCTTCCTTTTCCTCTGCCTTTGCTGCTGCTGTTACACACGCTCCCGCCCCCACCTGCTCTTCCTTTTCCTCTGCCTTCGCTGCTGCTGTTACACACGCTCCCACCCCCTTCTTCTCGTCCTTCTCTTCCCCTTCTGCTGCTGCCCATGCCCCCACCTTCTCGTCCTTCCCTTCCGCGCCTGCCGCTACTGGTTCATCCGCCCCTGCCCCCACCTTCTCGTCCTCCTCTTGCGGTTCTGGTGTTACTTGCACACATACCCATGCCCCCACCCTACTTAATTGCTTCCTTTGTCCGTCCCTGCCCCCATTGCGCCACCCCATGTCTTCATGGCGACGCAGCACCGCACAGGAGTACTCTGGCTCCTGCTCGTCTTCCTCCTCTTCCTCTTCCCTCGCGTACAGTCCTGCTGCCTTCTCCGTCTTGCCTCCCAAAGCCTGCAGCTGAGCCCGCAATCTTCGTATCTGAGATTCTATTTCCTCTAGTGACCTCCTCGCTCCCCCAATCCTCTGATAGCAGTCCTTCTGCTGATGCCCCCTCTTCCCACACACTTCGCAGGTTGGCGCGCCAGGGCAGTTCTGACGGCGGTGCCCTGGTTTCCCACACACGTCGCAGTTCTTGCAATTCACCCTCACATGTCCTGGCTGTCCACACCTGTAGCAGGTCTTCGTGTCCGTCCTTCTCTCATATTGCTGCTCCTCTCCGCCTCCCGCCCCCGGCATCATTGCTGCCGCCCAGGTGGGTCGCATCTTCTCAGCCACCCTTGGCAGGTATGCCTCATAACGCCTCTGTGCCAGCTCCACCTTTTCTGTTAGCTCAAACACTTCCTCCAGGCTTGCTTCTGCCCCCAGTTCTCTCATTTTCAGTCCTCCGGCCAGCCCATCGTCCAATCCTGCCAGGAACTTACTGATCAGCATGCTGCTGTCGGTACACACCACATCCTCGGCCAGGTTCATGAGCCGCCCATAATACGCCAGCAACGACTCGTCCTTCCTGCGTTTGAAGTCCTGAAACTCCCTGATTCGCTCTGCCGTGTGTCCTGGGAATTGCTTGCGCAGCCGTTCCAGGAACAGTGTTTTGAGACGTCTCAAAACACTGGAACAGTGACATAGGGTCATCCCCATCCTCCTCTGCCCTCCTCAGCCACTCATGCATCTTCATGCGATACAATGTTTCTGCTTCCCCACCCAGAGTGTTCGGCAGACTCAAAAAGAAGTCGATGGGTTCCATCCCACTCCGATCACACCTGTACTTGACATTCCCAATCTCCATCAGATAATTCTTCAGATTAGTGCTTGTCCCTCCATTCCCGGTGAAACGCACTGGCACCTCTACTTGTGGTGGCGCCTCCATGCCCCCTCTCCCTGAGTCCCAGGTTCCCATTGCTCCTCGCTCCGCGCGGCTAACTTCTCCTCTGTGCTCCCTCATTCCCCTGCTGCCAGTGCTTGTCCCATACAGCACCCTGTCTATCCCTTCTCTAGCAGCTCTGGCTTCGCTGGATCCTTCTCCTGTCTGCCGTGGCCTCCTGGGGCCCCTCAGACTCGGACTCGGACTCCTTCTCCGCTCCTCCTCGTAAGCCTCCCTTTGCCCGCCTGCTTCCCCCCAACGCCTTTCCCTCTTCTCAGGCGAATATTCCTGGCATCGCCCTTCTTGCTTCCTCCTTTCCCGCTGCTGCCGGTCCTCTCTCTCACGAAACTCTCTCCGTTCTTCCTGCCTGCTCCTCAGCCCTTCTCTCCTTCCAGGGACATATCCTTCCCAGCTTTCCTCCCTTTGGCCTGATCCATGGCGTGCCCGCCTGTCGCTCTCTTCCTCTTCTCCGCTCTCTGTTTCATACTCGTGCATCCCCTCCTGTCGCATGTGCTGCTTGTCACCTCTTTTCCCCTGTCCGCTCAGGTCCTGCTTCTCCCTCATCCCCGCTCCAGGTTTCCTTCGCCCTCCTCGCCTTCCCCTGCACCCCTCTCTTTCTTCAGGGCATGACTTCTTCTCCCGCCGATCCGGCTTCCCGCGTCGGCGCCGCTCCAGATTATACCCATAGTCCTCTTCTTCACTATACTCATGTTCCTTCTCTTCACGCAGCTCCTCATTACTCCCTCTCGTCTTCTCCCTCCCTTCCTTCCTCTCAAGGGACTCTCCTTCCCAGCGTCTCCCTCGTCCGCCTGCTCCTCGACGCCCATGATCCTCTCTTCCTCTTGCTTTGTCACTTCCCGGATCCTCCCCTGGGGACACCTCTCGCCGGCAGCGCTCTTCCTCACCCCTTCTCCTGTTTATCTCTCTCTCATGCCTCCCCCTTGCCTCTCCGACAGGTTCCTGCACCAACCCTGCTCCCGCGTACGGATACTCTTCTATTTCTTCTCTGCGCGCTCTCGCATCCGCACCCGTGGAGTACTGCGACGAACACTCACTGCCCTTAACACGCGCTTCCCACTCCTCCGTCCGCTGCCGTGCAGGCGAGCGCTGCGCGCGCCTCCTATCGCGGTCGTCCTCACTTTCCTCTCCCCCCTGCTCTGGTGATCGCCATCCGCCCAACGCCATGCGCCTCCTACACTCATGTCCGCGTCTCGGCTCAGGCGAGCCATACACTCCCGCTTGCACGTCTCGCCTCCTCTCTTCCTCACGGCTGGCTTCTGGCGCGCGCTTAGCCTCCTTGCCTTCACCGTGCCTTGCATTACTTCTGCGCAGCCTGCCTGGCGAGCGATCTGCATCTGTGCCCCCGCGGCGCCTCGCATCATTCTCAGGCAATTCGCCCGCCGAACCGCCCGCATCCGCGCTCCCATGGCGCCTCGCACCATTCCCGCGCATTTCGCCCGTCGAACCTGCTGCAACCGCGCTTCCGCGGCGCCTCGCGTCATTCTCAGGCATTTCGCCCGTCGAACCGTCAGCATCCGCGCTTCCACAGCGTCTCGCATCATTCCCGCGCATTTCACCCGTCGACCCAGCTGCACCCGCGCTCTCGCGGCACCTCGAGCCATTCCCGCGCATTTCGCCAGCACAACGATCCGCATCCGTGCTCACGCGGTGCCTCTCGCCACTCCCGCGCGCTTCGCCAGCAGAACGAACTGCCTCCGCTCCGCGCTCCCGCGGCGACCTGCGCTACTCCCACGCACTTCGTCTGTTGAGCGGCTTGATCCCGTCGCCTTTCCGCGCTCTTCGCGTTTCTCTCCACGGCGACTCTCGCCTCCCTCACGCATGTCGTCCGGCGAGCGATCTGCTCCCGCGTACTTTGGATCATCCTCTGCCGTTTCCTCACCGTCGGCCTCGTTTGCCAACATCAGCGAGCCCATTTCGTTGGCATCCTCATGATGCCCTTCACCCGCGCCCCGCTGGCCTCTTGCCAGATCCCAAGGACCGCTTCTTGACGGCTGAGGCCTCGTCGCCAATCTCATCTGCAGATCGGTCTTGCCTCCATCGCGCCGTCCGTCACCAGCTGCCATCTGATCCGCCCGATCCGCCTCTCTCTTAGGCGAGCGACCTGGCGATCGTTCCCGAACCTGTGAGCGCATCCGTCGCGACAGCGGAATTTCCCGACGCGAATACGTTCGCTGCCAGCGCAGCTCGTTGCAGTCCATATTGCAAATTCTTTCTCTCGTTTGTGAGAGATTTCCGCTCCCACACGATGGCTGCCCACAGTGGCTTTAGCTACCTAGCTGGAGCTAGCTTGAAACGGTAGTTTAGATCCACTATACGAGGCAAACAAACGAGAGAACGAACTAAGTAGTGAGTTCCTAGCCTATTTGAATCTCTACCCCGTGCCGCTCAATTTCCCGTAAGTCACATTGGGCTCCGCCCGCTAGGCTTCAGGATTGGCCCTTCGGATTGCCCAGGGCTCGCCCTTGAATTTGTCCCACCCTGCGCCTCGCAAGTCCGCCGGTCACCACTTTGCGTCACTGCCCACGCACCGAACTCTCCTTCTACAGTGCTTCGAATAACCCAACTACACCTACACTAGCGAGTAACTGAATATATTGCAACTAACAATCTATTCGGTGACAGCATGAGCCTATGAGCATGAGCATATGAGCATATGAGCATATGAGCATGAGCATATGAGCATGGGCATATGATCATATGGGCACGAGCATATGAGCATGGGCATATGAGCATAGGCACGAGCACATGGGCATGAGCATATGAGCACGAGCATATGAGCATGAGCATATGAGCATGAGCATATGCGCACGAGCATATGAGCATGAGCACATGAGCATGAGCAAAAGAGCATGAGCATATGAGCATGAGCATATGAGCATGAGCATGAGCATGAGCCTATGAGCATGAGCATATGAGCATATGAGCATGAGCATATGAGCATGGGCAAATGAGCATATGGGCACGAGCATATGAGCATGGGCATATGAGCATAGGCACGAGCACATGAGCATGAGCATATGAGCATGAGAATGTGAGCATGAGCATATGAGCATGAGCATGTGAGCATGAGCACATGAGCATGAGCAAAAGAGCATGAGCATATGAGCATGAGCATATGAGCATGAGCATGAGCATGAGCCTATGAGCATGAGCATATGAGCATATGAGCATGAGCATATGAGCATGGGCATATGATCATATGGGCACGAGCATATGAGCATGGGCATATGAGCATAGGCACGAGCACATGAGCATGAGCATATGAGCACGAGCATATGAGCATGAGCATATGAGCATGAGCATATGCGCACGAGCATATGAGCATGAGCACATGAGCATGAGCAAAAGAGCATGAGCATATGAGCATGAGCATATGAGCATGAGCATGAGCATGAGCCTATGAGCATGAGCATATGAGCATATGAGCATGAGCATATGAGCGTGGGCAAATGAGCATATGGGCACGAGCATATGAGCATGGGCATATGAGCATAGGCACGAGCACATGAGCATGAGCATATGAGCATGAGAATGTGAGCATGAGCATATGAGCATGAGCATGTGAGCATGAGCACATGAGCATGAGCAAAAGAGCATGAGCATATGAGCATGAGCATATGAGCATGAGCATGAGCATGAGCCTATGAGCATGAGCATATGAGCATATGAGCATGAGCATATGAGCATGGGCAAATGAGCATATGGGCACGAGCATATGAGCATGGGCATATGAGCATAGGCACGAGCACATGAGCATGAGCATATGACCATGAGAATGTGAGCATGAGCATATGAGCATGAGCATGTGAGCATGAGCACGAGCATGGGCAAATGAGCATGGGCATATGAGCATGGGCATATGAGCATGGGCACATGAGCATGAGCATATGAGCACGAGCATGGGCATGGGCATGAGCATGAGCATATGAGCATGAGCATGGGCAAGAGCATACGAGCATGAGCATACGAGCATGAGCATATGAGCATGAGCATGAGCATGAGCATACGAGCATGAGCATGCATGAGCATATGAGCATCGGCATGGGCTTGGACATCAGCGCATGAGCGCATCATCTAATAAGGATCATTCACATAATCAAGATTGAGGCAATATCCGCGACTCGCGGGCCGACATGACTTATCATCAAATGGCGGAGCAATTGCAATTGCGCAGCCTTCCAGGAACACCTGCGAAATTTGTGTGTGGTAACCCTAATTCTGACGAAAATTAGAGTCGTTTTGCTCCGTCTAGCCGCTATTAATATCATCCTCACGAAACACTTTCGCGAACTAATTGCCACGTTTCGCGAGTGATATGGAACAAAGTTACGCAGATTTTCACTTTGTGCCTTACGGTAATGGAAAACATACCTTCGCAGCCCAGTTCGTAGTATCAGGTATACCGTAATGGAAGATTCTAAGAAATACGTCGAAACGAATCGTCCTACCGTGAGCGGGATCAGTGGCAGCGAGGGAGCCGCGACTCGGAAGAAAGGTAGCGAGCAGCGCAAACGTTACTACGAGCGGCGGTGAAATTCGCACGGGCGATGTTACTTGCAGCGGTGCACGACAACGTGACCTGACCCAGCGAGCCATTCTTGAGGTGGCGCCTAAGCTTCCGCCTGGAGTGAATCGCGTGAAATAATCGCGAGAAAAAACTCCCCGACAGAGTCCAGAACTGGCAATTCCCTGTGGTAGTAACTGCATCAGTCATGCATGAGGAGAGGACAATCACGATGCGCGTCACGCGCAGTGAGTGAAGTGATGTCTTGCCGTTTTTGTTAGCTTGCTAGGCACAATTCTGAAGTTCAAACAAACCGATTTCTTAAGTAAAACTTTCATAACCGTAGTGAATTACAGACTGATTCCCTGAGCTTGAAGCTCGAATTTCGATACGCGATTTTGCACGACACAGTACGGTTGTGATCTATTGGACTTCAGATCAACCCCACACACTAATACACACAATTAGGGCCCTAAAAACTACTGCTTTGAAACCATCATGGTTCAAAAACCACTTAATATGAAAGAACAGGGGACAGAGGCTCATAGGTCCTATTTGTCAGAATATTAAGACTATTTAGTCTGATAACGTCAGCCATGTGGTAATTACCACTATTATTCATACCACATTCAGTCTTAGTATGAGTGAAATGTTTATGACATAACGAAGTCTGGTGCAGAGTGATACTAGCATCAATAGTGATAAAGCTTCTGCTTGTACAAAAGACGTTTACAACCAATCAAGTCCCGACGCGTGCTTATGCGTCCAACAGAGGCAAGCTACAGAGCGGAATTTCGGGCAGCAAGAGGAGGAACACGACGAACGAACTCATTGAATTTTGAAGAAACACTGTACAGTTGTTCAGGGCAGGGATGCCTGGTGGGTTGCTGCTTGTTCGGGGTGTCGTGCTGCCCGAAGTGGCTCCTCGTTAGCTTGCTGCCCGGAGCGCGGAAAAGGAACAAGCACTGGGCCGGAAACTGGGAGAGGCGCATCTTGTGTGAGGTGGCCTGCGTCAAATCAGTAATTGCACTTCATCCCTCCCAACCTCACTGTAGCGTACATAATCGCCTAAACACACTTCGGAAATGAATGGGTTTCTGGATCATTCCTCCAGAAACCCGCACGTGTGCGGAATCTTCAGGAGGAAGACCCTAATTACAACCTTATCAGTCACGCTCGTTTACACGGTTACCAAGGTTGTAGTGTGTTCAAAGACGGTTCGTTCAAACTTTGGAATGGTGTGACACGTCTAGAGACTGATATTGTTGACAAAAGAGGATACCGCTGGCAGACATCACTTCACTGCATAGTTCCCTAAACTGTCACTACCTTTACTACGCCGCTTTTGGAGTGTTCGTACTCTGGAATCTGATGAGGAGTTGTTCTCGCAAATACTCCACGACAATGTGCCCCAGGCGATAGATTTAATCAAAGCGCCGCCTCAATCAGTAGCAACGGACGACAATGGCTCGTCGTTCTGTCGGATCTCGTTGTCACACGCCGCTGCGAGCAACATCGTCGTGCGAGTTCGTACCACTCCTAGCAACGCTCGCGCTGCTCGCTGCCTTGCTTCCGAGTCGCGGCGTTCTCGGTGTGACTGATCCCGCTCATGGTAGGCGATTCGTTCCTCCGACGGTTGACGATTCGTTCCTCCGACGCGATTCCCTAAAATGCTTAATGCGATCAGTGGTTGATTTCGCACACGTTAGGCGATTCGCTCCGTCGTATTTCCGAAATACGTTTTACTTCTGAGGGAATGCTAGTACTACTAACTACTCCTGCGAATTCCCCCGCCGACGAATCTGCTGGATGCTGTATAATAGGAAAGGCGAATATGCTTTAAGTTGATCCTGTTTCGATCACTCGTAAGATGTCGCACTTAGTTTGAACGCGTTCATCCGGGATAGAAATTTGAGTGTCAATCGTCATTTAGCATTAACCCATGTGGTTAACAGTTTGGGGAACCTTGCACATGTTGAAGCACTGCACCGCGGAGCTCCAGTGGAGTCTTCTGGCTGTCCAGTGCGATCAGTCGGAGAATGACGATTCCGTGCATGGATTTGACACTGTGTCTTTTCTTAGAGGCGAAATTGCATCGCAAAAATCCGAACCACCCATGCCTTACGACCTTCAAGAGCCATATCTAGTGCTGGTAGTGACCTAGGCTGGGAGCACCCCCTTGAACGCAAGCTCCTTTGACTCAGTTCGGAACTGAGAGCGCCTCATAAGTAAGCCGCTCTGCTGCGCCGCCTCTCATTTAGCTGTCCCTACGTCCGCCACTCCCCATCAGCATCGCTCTCCCCCCTCCCTTTCCCCCCTTGCCCTCCCCCACCCCTCTCCCTTCTTCCCCCACTCACCTCTTCTCAAAACCTATTGGCCGCACGGGATGCATTCTCGACGACAGGAAAAGGAACGTTCACCACAATAGGAATGCACCTAGTGTCGCCAAGGGACAAAACAACAACCTGCATTTTGCCACCCTCTAGGCGATACCCTCCGTCCCCCCTCTCCACCCCAGCAGCCCTGCGGCATACATGGCTAATGCCCCATCCTGCCCATGCTTTCTTTGAGGCGAGTTTCGCCTCAGAAACAGCCGCATCACATGCACGGCTGATGCCTCATGCAAATGCTGTGCTGTCCCTAGGCACCAAACACACAGCAATGACTTCTCTGCGTTTCCGCTCACCCGCCTTCCAGTGCCCATTCGGAGGACCTTCGCAGCTCTACTTACGTCACCTTGGTCACCCCAACCCAATCCTTTCACACGGCTGGTACCTCATAAGTGTACCTTGTCTGCGTTCCCCTTCCCCACTGACCCACCTTCTAGTGGCCATTCTCAAGACCTTCGCGGCTCTAGGCAACCCCAGCAGCCCCCCGTTCAACGCGTGGACGGGGGATGATCCGTGTGGGGGAGAGGCGGGGAGCGCGTGGGCTGGCATCAAGTGCGACACTGGCAGCCCGTATAATTCCGTGACTGAGATGTGAGTGCAGCTTGGGGGACTGGGGTGGTGGTGCTTTGTGCCCGTGTGAGATGGCAGATGCAGGGAGCGCATGGGCTGGCATCAATTGCGGCACTGGCAGCCCGTACAGTACAGTTGCTGAGATGTGAGTGCAATGAGGGTGGACAGGGATAGTGCTGTGTGCTCGGATGGGGGAAGTCACGTGTGGGGCAGGTGCGGGGAGCGCATGGGTGGCATCACGTGCGACACTGGCAGTCCGTACAGTACAGTTGCTGAGATGTGAGTGCGGTGCGGGAGGGGGGCAATAGGGTGGTGCTCCTTGCTTGAACGGGGGGCCAAACCGTGCAGGGCGTATGCAGGGAATGCATGACTGTGCAGGGCATCAAGTGCGACACAGGCAGCCCGTATAACACGTGGCTGAGATGTGCGTGGGGGAAGGGGGCGTTGGGTGTTGATCCTTGCTTGAACGGGGGGCCAAATCGTGCAGGGCGTATGCAGGGAGCGCATGGGCTGGCATCAAGTGCGACACAGGCAGCCCGTACAACACTGTTTCTGAGATGTGAGTGCGGGAAGGGGGACTATGGTGGCGCTCACTGCTCCTTGCCTGAACGGGCCGTGCGAGGCAGGTGGGGGAAGTGCATGGGCTGGGCTGGCATCAAGTGCGGCACTCGCAAACCGTTGGCTGTGATGTGAGTGCAGGAAGGGGCAATGAGGTGGTACGCTGTTTGGGAGTCACTTTTGAGAATTAACAAAAGTAACCGTTGGCTGGGATGTGAGTGCAGGAAGGGTCATTGAGGTGGTACGCTGTGCTAGGACTGGGGAAGGCCCGTGCAGGTGGTGGTGCAGATGCAGATGCAGCGAGTGCATTGTGATGTGCACAACGCCGATCTAAAGAAAGACATGTGAGAATTACGTTTTGAGGGAAAGCTGGAACGACAGTTTTCTTACCCCTTCGCCTCTCCTCCTGTCATTTCCTTCCTCCTCTCCCCTCTCTCACCCCCTTCAGTGACATTCAGGACGCCCAGCTATCAGGAGACTTGCCGCCTTCCCTTTTCAACCTCACATCGCTTCGCCTGCTGTGAGTTCCCATGCCACCCCCATCCGCCCGCCCCTCTCTATCATTCGACTGTCTCGCACTTTCCATATCTTCCTCCCCCTCCCCCCTTCACTATCCACAGCCAGCTGAAGATCTCAATTCGTAGCTCATGGAACCTCTTACCCTCAGTAGCCCTGACGCTCCCATTGTGACTCCTGTCCCTGCCCCTTTCTGCCCCCCTTTCTTCAGCAATCTGGCGCTCAACCCGAATCTGACGGGCAGCTTTCCAGATGCTCTCAGAAACCTCCTGCAGCTCACCACGCTGTGAGTAGTGAGCACTTCTTTCCTGTGAGCCCTCTCTGCTGCGCTGCGCTGTGAGCACCTGTGTTGTACGGACACTGCTGCATTCTAAGCACTCTGCTGGGCTGTAAGCATTCCGGTGCACCATAAGCGCACTGCATATGGGATATCTGCATACAGGAGCACACGGGCTATCTGAAATTCCTCTTTCCTGCCCCTTATACCACCCCTTCTGCACCCCCTCCCCCCGCACAAACAACAAGCAGGGAGATGCACAAGTGTTGCCTATCAGTCTCCATCCCGTCCACCATAGGGCGACTCACCAGCCTCAAATACTTCCGAGCCAATCACAACCCCCTCTTCCTTCCCCCAACCCTCCTTTCGCCGCCCTCCGCAGGGACATGCATGGGTGTTGCCTGTCAGGGACCATCCCATCCACCATTGGCCGCCTCACCAGCCTGAGCTACTTCCTGGTCAACCAGAACCGCCTCTTCCTTCCCCCAACCCTCCTCTCGCCCCCCTCCGTAGGGACATGCACGGGTGTGGCCTATCGGGCTCCATCCCAGCCACCATCGGCCGACTCACCAGCCTGAGCTACTTCCTGGTCAACCAGAACCGCCTCTCGGGCTCCCTGCCAACACAGATCGGCACCCTCCCCCGCCTCTACATGCTTGATGTAATGGAGAATCAGCTGGAAGGGCCCCTTCCGAAGTTCCAGGGGGCAAACGAGCTCAGCCACCTGTGAGTGCCCCTATCCATGCTTAACGCCATGATGACCCGGATGGAAGGGCTCCTGCCATGATGACCCGGATGGAAGGGCTCCTGCCATGATGAACCGGATGGAAGGGCTCCTGCCGTGATGAAAAATGGCAGGGGCCCCTTCCAACCGGATGGAAGCCCCCCTGCCATTGTTCCAGGGTGCAAACGAGCTCGCACACCTGTGAGTGACACCCATTCCCACCTGGAGTGTCAACCATCCCCCCCTATCAATATCACCCCCATCCCTCTCCTTATGAGTATCACCCCCATCCCTCTCCCTATGAGTATCAACCCCATCCCTCTCCCTATTAGTATCACCCCCATCCCTCTCCCTATGACTATCACCCCCATCCCTCTCCCTATAAGTATCACCCGCATCCCTCTCCCTATGAGTATCATCCCCATCCCTCTCCCTATGAGTATCATCCCCATCCCTCTCCCTATTAGTATCACCCCCATCCCTCTCCCTATGAGTATCACCGCCATCCCTCTCCATATGAATATCACCCGCATCCCTCTCCCTATGAGTATCACCCATCCCGCTCGCTGCGAGCATCACCCATCCTCACCTGCTTTCTCCTCTCCTTACCCACCCTGAGCTCGGGCACCTTTGGGTGTCTGTTGCTCCCTCTCACGTCCTCACTCCCCACATCTTCTTTTCCCCTCTTCCGTTCGCTTTCCCCTAATCTGTATTTCCCCTCTCCCTCCCCCCTCCCACTCTCTCCCCCTGTGGTCCCCCTGCCCGACAGCCACATGAGCAACAACCTCTTCACGTCTGTTCCAGCAGAGATCAGCAGACTGCCCAAACTGCTGCACCTGTGAGTCGTGCTCAAGGCAAGCATGTCTAAGTCGTGCTGAGTAATGAACCCTGCAAATCCCAACCTCAGATAACCTCACCCATGCCCTTCGATTGGCTGTGTCATACATGTAGTGTTGCTACTCCTCCACCCGTATAACATTCTTGTTCGCTGCTGTCGTGTGTTGCATGGCAGGCTGATGGACAGCAACCGTCTCACCCATGACTTTCCACTCGCTTTCAACAACACCAACCTCACTGTCATGTACGCGTGTGCGTGCGGTGCAGGAATGTTCCACTATGTGTGTGTGCGGTGCAGGAATGTTCCACTATGTGTGTGTGCGGTGCAGGAATGTTCCACTATGTGTGTGTGCGGTGCAGGAATGTTCCACTATGTGTGTGTGCGGTGCAGGAATGTTCCACTATGTGTGTGTGCGGTGCAGGCATGTTCCACTATGTGTGTGTGCGGTGCAGGAATGTTCCACTATGTGTGTGTGCGGTGCAGGAATGTTCCACTATGTGTGTGTGCGGTGCAGGCATGTTCCACTATGTGTGTGTGCGGTGCAGGAATGTTCCACTATGTGTGTGTGCGGTGCAGGAATGTTCCACTATGTGTGTGTGCGGTGCAGGAATGTTCCACTATGTGTGTGTGCGGTGCAGGAATGTTCCACTATGTGTGTGTGCGGTGCAGGAATGTTCCACTATGTGTCTTCACTTTCCACTATGTGTGTGTGCGGTGTGGGCGAGTTGAGTTGACTCAAAACTCCACTCGCTTTCAACAACACCAACCTCACTGACATGTATGTGTGTGTGAACATTTTCCACTATGTGTCTTTACTTGGGTAAGGAAGGATTTTTTGTTAGAAACCATGTGTGTGCGTGTAGCCATTTTGAGTTGACTCAAAACTCCACTCGCTTTCAACAACACCAACCTCACTGTCATGTATGTGTGGGGGAGGCATTTTCCACTATGTGTCTTCACTCAGGCTAGGAGTCTTGTAAACTAGCTGTTAAGAACCGAGTATGCATTTAGCAAGCACCGATAATCTTGCATGCAAAGAGCGGTCTATGTTGCTTGCCCGTCTCCTGCTGTTTGAGGTGACGCCTGAGTCGAAAGTGCTTGCACAAGTCAAAAGTTGTGCTTGTACCACCTCTTTATGTTGCTCGTAACCTGCTGCAAACTAGTTCTGTCCTGCTTAGCTCGTCTTGTTCTGCTCGTCGGTACGTGCCTCCATGTTAAAACCAAGTAGTTGCCTTTCTCCCACCTTGGTGCGGCCCGTTTTCTCCTCTCCCAACCTCTCCCAACCTCTCACTCCTGCCCCCCTTCACCAAGCAGGCAACTGCTGTAGTCACCGTAATCCGTTGGCTATATTTGTATGACTTTTGAGAATTCTCAAAAGTCAACTGCTGTAGTCACCGTAATCCGTTGGCTATATTTGTATGACTTTTGAGAATTCTCAAAAGTCAACTGCTGTAGTCACCGTAATCCGTTGGCCTTCGGCCCCTGACCTCCAACTTCTCCCGTCTTACCCTCCTTTCCTTTCTTCCTACCAGCTACTGCAGCCACCACTTCATGCTTTAACTTGAACCTCTCGCCTCGTCCACCCCCCCCCTCTCCCTGTTCCCTTGCCTGCTCCCTCCATTTTCACCCCCTTCCGTTTCCCCCCACCTTCCCTTCTGCCTTCCCCCCCTCTTCCCTTCTTTCCCGCCTCCCTTCCCTTCGCCCTCTCCTCGCTCCCAATCCATTCCCTCCCCCTTCCCGTCCCCATCTCTCCCGCCCTTCCCCTCTCCCTGCCTCTCCAACCAGCTACTGGAGCAACAACATAATACCCGGCCCCTTCCCCTCCACCTGGTTCTTCCCCCGACTCAAGGACTTGTAAGTCGTTCTCCAACTCAGGAAACTCTAAGTGGCCTCCAACTCAGGAACTTCTCAGTTCACGATATATGTTCTTAAGTCGACTCATTACGTTGACTAATTGCAGAGCAGGGTTGATGGTGCAGCAGAGAGTTCTTTGCTATGTTTGTAAATGTGGGTATTGTATGTGACTATACCCCAAATGTGCATGTGTGCATGTGCATGCGTGGATGTGTCTATTTGCATGAGCGTGCGTATGTGTCCATATGCATGAGCATGTGCATGTGTGTGTTTCCCTGCAAGTGTGCATGTGTCCATGTGCATGCATCATGTATGTTCATGTGTGTGTATCTCATGACTACATACAAGTCTACTAGTGCACGAATGTGTATGTGTGGGTGCATGTGCATGTGTGTGCTTACATGCATGTATGTGTCTCCCATCCCCACACAGCCTCTTCAGCAACTGCTCTCTACCGAAACAGCCTCTTCCTTCCTTCCCTATCTCTCGCAACCTCTCCAACCTGTAAGCCCTTTTTTGCAGTGCATCGATCCATCCATCCATCGATCCATCCATCCATCCATCGATCCATCCATCCATCCATCCATCCATCCATCCATCCATCCATCCATCCATCCATCCATCCATCCATCCATCCATCCATCCATCCATCCATCCATCCATCCATCCATCCATCCATCCATCCATCCATCCATCCATCAATTCACATTCCATCAATTCCTATCGAAATCACATACACAATCTGCCTTGTTCCGTGTGAAACAACTTTCCCACCCCCTTTTTTCCTTCGTCTGGTTTCCATTCACATCGCTACTTCCACACCATTCTTCCCCTTCCCTGCACCTCACCCACTCAAAGTCTGTCTGCTACAGACCGTTTATCCCCCCCACCCCCCTTCTCTCCCCCACTCCCCCTTTCCCCCTTCCCGTCCCTTCCCCCTCCCCCATCCGCATTGCCTCCCCTTCACCTTCCCACATCACCTCCCAGGGACCTGAGCAGCAACAGTTTCACAGGCTCCATCCCAGGCTCTCTGTTTTGGCAGCACCCTAACCTCGTCAACCTGTCAGTTCATCTCTTCTGTTTTGGCAGCACCCTAACCTCGTCAACCTGTCAGTTCATCTCTTCTGTTTTGCGTTTCCTACTGTGCGTGTGCATTTCCAAGACATGGCTCAATAGCATTTCAGCAGAACTTTAAACGTCGGATTTTCCGTGTTTGAATTTCTGCTGAAACGCTTTTGAGCCATGGCAACATCATGTCAGTGTCAAGCTTGTTTTTGTGCCATGCACCCCATGCCATGCACCCCATGCCTTGCACCCCATGCCATTCACCTCACTCCATGCACCCCATGCCATGCACCCCATGCCATTCACCTCACTCCATGCACCCCATGCCATGCACCCCATGCCATGCGCCCCATGCTTTGCACCCCATGCCTTGCACCCCATGCTTTGCACCCCATGCCATGCACCCCATGCCATGCACCCCATGCCATGCTCCCCATGCTTTGCACCCCATGCCTTGCACCCCATACCTTGCACCCCATGCCATACACCCCCTGTCATGCACTTCGTTTCGGTCTTAAGTCTCACAGCAACCGACCCACCTCGCTGGGTCTTTCCATGACCCCTCCTCTTTCCCTCCTTCCTCCCTCCATCGCCAGCAATTTGGCTAACAACGATCTTAGTTCGAGCTTCCCTCCAGCGATCGCCGATGCTGCCAGTCTGCAATCCGTGTGAGTGGGAGAACCGCCTACCTCAACCTGTATATCTGGCATATATAGCATAGTTGATATAAACAGCATATTTAGCACTGCAGGTTTTGGAAAAGTGTAGGAACCTAGGAGTCAATTAGGGGACGAGAGAGAAAAGCGTGTAAGGTTATAAGCAGGTTGGGGTAAAACCTCAACCGAACCTAGGGCGTGTTCAGCTTGGTGGGATGATGGCAGGAAACTGAACCTAAACTGAACTCGAAATGAAGTTAGCTCTATTTGAAGATGGTAACTAAAAATCATTTAGTGCCATCACAAACAGCAGAGCGAGCACGCGCCTACTTCAACCAATAGCTTTACGTTCTGCTGATGTTGCCTTTCTCCCAGTTCTCTGTAATCTCTCCTCATTCCCTCCCTTTCGGCTCCTTCGCTACCCATTGCCTCCCACCATGTCTCAAAGTCATCCCCTCTCCATGCAATTGGTGCCTCTTTCCAGTCCCCTCACTCCTGTTCTGACGGGGATAAGTAACCCAAACTCATGTACCATGTCCACGTTTCCTCCATCCCTCCACCCCTTCCCCAACCACCCCTCCAGCTTCCTATCCGGCAGTCAGCTCAGCGGTCCCCTGCCAGACCTCTCATCGCTGCCCAGCATCGTGTCGCTCTCCCTCTTTGACAACTCCCTCTCCTCCCTGCCGCCCGCCCTGCTCGCCAAGACCAACAACATCACGCTGCAGTGAGTGGCTTTTCTTGTGTACCGCCCTCTAGTGTACCGCCCTCTAGTGTGCCGCCCTCTAGTGTGCCGCCCACTAGTGTGCCGCCCTCTAGTGTGCCGCCCTCTAGTGTGCCGCCCTCTAGTGTGCCGCCCTCTAGTGTGCCGCCCTCTAGTGTGCCACCCTCCAGTCTGCTGCTGTTTAGTGTGTCGTCTTTTAGTTTGCTTTCGTCTAGTGTGCGCCGTCCCTACTCACCAGTGGGAACCTCACTCTGCAGTGATCTGCCTTTCTAGCATCCGCATAATGAGCGTGATCCCTCACAGCCTGTACTTGAAAACGAAAATGCCGCTGCTGCTGTCGCTGCTATATAGCACCCCCTTTCTTCCACCCTCTCTTTTCCACCCTCACATTTCCATTTTCTCTTATTCGCCTTCTCTTTTCCACCTCCATTTTCTGTTGGTGTTAGCCCTCAATCTCAACCTTTGTACTTGTAAAACTATATCGTAGTGTAGTTTGTAGTTTGAGTTGGTTGAATGTACATCCACATCTCAACCGAACCCAAACGTGATAAACCGAAATCTCCAACCCACCAATTGGAGTTTCCAGCCAATCCTCTTGGGATTGCTCCCGATTCCCTCCCCATCAATTCCTTGCTTCATTTCAGCCAATCCTCTTGGAATGTAGTTAAGAGCCTTGAGCTCAGTACCTAATGTATCACTTCAAGCTCAAGTTCTTACACCCCCCCCCCCCCCTCCTCTGTTCCCTGCTGCTTCTGTCCTTCCTTCTCTTCCCCGTCTACCTTCTCCTCGCCTCCCCATTCTCCCACTTTCCCCCTTTGTCTCCCTTTCCCGATCCACCCTCTGCCCCCCCAGGCTTTTCAACAACGATCTTTGCAAGCTGTTCAATCCAAACTACACGCAAGTATGCACCCCCACAACCTCCCTCCCTCACTCAATACACATTCCCTCCCCTGCCCCCCCGTCCCCCCCCCCTGCAGGCTTTTCAACAACGATCTCTGCAAGCCATTCAAGCCAGACTACACGCAAGTCTGCTCCCCCCCGACCCCCCTCACCCAATACACCTCCCCTGCCTTCTGCGACGGCCTCGCCTGCGAGAACGACCTCTACAGCCCTAGCGCACCGCTCTATAACGAGTCACACTCTTGCGTGTGCGTGTCCCCGTTAAGAGTCGACCTGGAGCTGTTTATATCGGATTTCGTGGTGTACCATGAGGCGCTGGTGCAGCAGCTGGAGCAGCGGATCTTCTCTGAGCTCACCAGCAAGTCGCAGATCAACATCAGCAGGCCACAGGTCAGTTTCCTAGGACAGTTGTGTGGTGTAACTTCCGGGTTTACTCTGAGGTGCCTGCAGCTGGACCAGCGGACCTTCTCTGAGCTCACCAGCAGGTCTCAGATCAACATCAGTCAACGCTCATCATCACCCTCTTCTTCCCCACCACTCCTCCTCCCTCCCCACCAGGTCCTCGTCTCTGCAATCAGCAGCCCCTCCACGCTCGACTCGCTCGCCTCCACCTTCGCCTCGGAGCACATCAACCACCAGTTAACGCACGCTCATCATCACGCTTCTCTTCTTCCCTCCGGGGGAATCAACAATAGCTGGTGGTGGTCCCCTCGCATCACACCACAGGCCACATGGCATCCCCAAAGTCAAAATCACGAATCAAGGACTTGATTTCTCATACTTCCCCTCTCACTCCCTCTCCTTCCACTTTTCCCTCCCACCAGGTCCTCGTCTCTGCCATAAGAAGTCCCGCTTCGCTCGACTCGCTTGCCTCCACCTTCGCCTCGGAGCACATCAACCACGAGTCAACGCTCATCATCACCGTCCTCTTCTTCCCGCCGGGCGGCGATGGCAGCTGGCACCCGCGAGACACACCGCAGGCCATCCGCAACGCCCTCACCACCCGGGACCTTGCCATGCGTGTTGCTCTCGGCAACTTCGGGCTCTTTCGAGTGGTTGGATTCTACGGCCCCGCACGTGAGTCTGGTTTTGTTTCGCTTTATGTGATAATAGTTGAGTTTGGAGACGTCTCAACACTCAACTTTTTATCACGCGGTTGGATTCTACGGCCCGGCGCGTGAGTTTGTCGTGTGTCCGTGTGTGGCACCTCTGCTGGGCTGATCACCTTGGCGTCTGCCCCCAGAGACACGCACCGGCAGCCCCCAGAGTATGTTCCCCTCTGAGACACACGTCGTCTGGGCTGAGAGAGTAAGCACTGGTGCCATCGTTGCTATCTCAGTGACTTTTGAGTCGACTCAAAAGTCACCTCGTTACAACGGCACACGACACCACCTCACAGCAGACTTCTTCTGGGCTAAGCACTGGCACGGCACCACCGCTGCTATCTCAGTGACCACTTTTGAGGCGCCTCAAAAATGAGCACGGGCGCCATCGTTGCCATCTCAGTGTGCTCTTTCCTCTCTTCCGTTTCGCCCTTCCCTTTCCCTTTGTTCTCTCCTTCCAACTACAGTCTACACTCCTCCAGTGCAGCAGCAGACTGCATCTCCTGGGCTGAGCACAGGCTCCACCGTTGCCATCTCAGTGTGCCTCCCCTCCTCTCTCTGCGCCCTCTCATTCCAACCAATCCAACCACCCCACGCCCACAGCCTACACCCCCCCAGCGCAGCAGCAGACTGCTTCCTCTGGGCTGAGCACGGGTGCCATCGTGGCCATCTCAGTGTCCTCCGCTGCTGTTGCCATCGCCCTCATTGTGCTTCTTCTCATGCGCCCCTGGGAGAGGCGAGGTAAGAGGACGGAGAACGGGGAGCGGGATAAGGGTTTTGATTCGACTCGAAATCTATCTCAGTGTCTTCCGCTGCTGTTGTCATCGCCCTCATTGTGCGACCCTGGGAGAGGAGAGGTGAGCGGGAGAAGCGAGGTGAGAGAGGGAGAAGAGAGGTGAGTAGGAGAAGAGAGGTGAGGAGGAGAAGAGAGGTGAGAGAGGGAGAAGAGAAGTGAGGAGGAGAAGCGAGGTGAGGAGGAGAAGAGAGGTGAGAGCGAGGAGAGAGGTGAGAGGGAGGAGAGACATGATAGGAAGGAGAGGGGTGAGGGGGTGGAAAATATTATAAATCGGTAAGAGGTGAAACGTGACAAGGAGGGTTCGCATTTTTGGTTGCGAAAAGATGGGTTTGGTTGGATTGGTACTGTGGCCAGCAATTTTAACCCCTGCCAATAATTTGGGTTGGTTCAGTAAAACTTAGTCTGAGTTCAGTCACTAAATCATCCTATATTCCCCCAACCCAACGTTGAATTGCCAACTCTAAGGGAGAATCAGTTGTACACCCAATCAAGGCTTGGGCGCCTAGCTCTGATGTTGTAGGTAATATGTAGGATACAAGAAGAATGATATTCTGACACAACGCCATCTGTCAAAAGCCTGACTTGCTCTTCCTGCTCTTGCTTTCCCCATCTCCACAACTTTTTGCCCCTCCCACTTTTCCCCTGCTGCAACAACAACAACAACAGGTGACCTGTGGAGCTCCGAGCACCACAGCCTACTGCGCGATCGAGGGACTCCAGATGCTGGGCGTGCACCAGCGCAAGCTCAAGGAGAGCCAATGTGTGCTCACCACACTTCCCCATCCCTCCTCGCCCCTCCCCATACCTTCCCACCTCTATGTTTCCCTGCAACAGGAGACCTGTGGAGTTCAGAGGACTACAGGGCGATCGAGGGGCTGCAGATGCTGGGCGTGCGTCGGTGCGAGCTCAAGGAGAGGCAATATGTGCTCCCCACCCCTCCCCATCTCTCCCCACCCCTCCCCTTCCCTTCCCACCCCTCTTCACCCCTTCCCACCTCTCTGTTCTCCTACAACAGGAGACCTGTGGAGCTCGGAGGACTACAAGGCAATAGAGGGGTTGCAGATGCTGGGGGTGCACCGGTGCAAGCTCAAGGACATAGCGGATGCGACCCAGGGGTTCAAGATGCTGCTGGGGGAGGGCGGATACGGACAGGTGTGTATGGGGAGGTATCTGAAATATCTGTGGGGCAAACGGGCTGGGGGAGGGCGGACGGACAAACACGTGTGGAGGGGAGATATATCTGTGGGGCGGACAGGAAGGTACGGTACGGAATGCATAGAGATGCAAGGTCAAGGAGATGTCAAATGTGACCATGAGGGGAGGGTACAGATGGGAAGGTACAGGTAGTTACATTCTGTTATTGTCACAATAGGCTCCAATGTAACTTAAACGAAAGATTGAGGGCATAGACGGATCTATGCCGAGCGGCTTCAAAACTTGATAGCGTTCTTGTCACAGCATTAAATAAAGTGTTTTGAATGGGATCCAAAGAGACTTGATTTCGTCTACAATATGCAATCTGAATCACTCGATTTGATAAAGGATTGACAGTAGTTTGAGCGAACGACAGTGTGACAGCAACTATAGTCTTAGAGCACAAATGAGGAAGAAGTTCGAGTTGGGAATGACTCAAAGCCTCTACAAAACCCAGGGGCCGAGGTCCAGGGACACAATCCACAACCACGAAGGGTCTCAGAAACATATACCACAAGGGCATACACCAAGAGAAATGTAACATTACACAATGCAATGTAACTATTTTCACTATCTTGATGTTGACCCTTTTGACGAGCTCCGAAATCACTTGAGTCTTAAAACGAAGGCTCTGGTTTATCATTTGAGTTCTTGCTGGTTTGCTGGTTTGCTACACACAACGACAAAACATAAAACACACACGATACTTAAACGGCGACGTGGCACGTGACTAGCGAAAAATTGCAATTGACGCAACACACACGTTCGACATCATGACTCATCATTCACATACTCATACAAGCATGAAAAATATGTGTTATCCTATGCTCTTATACCATTCCATGCAAACACACACGCAGTACAAGAACAACAAACCGAGTGCAAACCATGAGGTTGCACCATGAGATACAGATGGATACAGACGAGTATGGACAGGTTTGATGGTGTGAGGGGGGAGGGCGCAAATGGGAAGGTACAGACAGGTTCAGAAGGATATTGTCGGGTTCGATGGTGTGAGGGGGGAGGGGTCAAGTGGGAAGGTACAGACAGGTGCACGCTCAGGGAGAGAGATAACAGGACACGACCAAGGACTTCAAGGTACTGCTGGGAGAGGGCGGATATGGGCAGGTATATGGCGAGGCATATATGTGAGAGGTGGGGAAGGATATGGGGCAGGTATACTGTATATCTGTGAGGGGGAAGGGGAGGATACGGACAAGTATGATAGTGGTTGGGGTGGGGCAGCTTCGCTTCCCATGCCTCTTCCCATGCATGTTTCCATGCCACTTCCCATGCCTCTTCCCATGCATGTTTCCATGCCACTTCCCATGCCTCCTCCCATTTCCTCTTTCCATTCCTCTTCCCATGCCTCTTCTCATGCCTCTTCCCAGTGTCTGAAGTTCTGAACCACTGTCAGGTGTACTCAGGAGACACAGAAATGCTCTGCTTTCACCTCGGCTCCCGTTTCTGCTCCCCATGCGTTGCCTATCTGCTCCCCATGCGTTGCCTATCTGCTCCCCATGCGTTGCCTATCTGCTCCCCATGCGTTGCCTATCTGCTCCCCATGCGTTGCCTATCTGCTCCCCATGCCTTGCCTCTTTGCTCCCCATACCCCAGTGCTGGAATCAGGGGGTGTGGTTCCATATGTCAAAACACTATGCTGCAACTTTAGGCTTTTCCCGTGCCTCTCCTTCGTCCCATGCCTAAGCCACTCTCAGGTGTACCGAGGAGTAATGGAATGGGGGGAAGTGGTGGCAGTGAAGCGAGCCAAGGGGCACGTGAAGGTGGGTCAGGATCAACTCTGTCAGTCAGGTGAACCTTGAGGTGGGTCTTCAGGTGGGGCATCAATCAAGTGGTACACATGTTTGCATATGTTTCCATGTGAACCAACGTAAAGCGATATAAATGCGTCCTGTCTCCTCTACCATGACTCGCTCAATGCCTACCGTGCACGTGTAACCTCTCCGTCCATCCATCCATCCATCCATCCATCCGTCCGTCCGTCCGTCCGTCCGTCCGTCCGTCCGTCCGTCCGTCCGTCCGTCCGTCCGTCCGTCCGTCCGTCCGTCCATCCATCCATCCATCCATCCATCCATCCATCCATCCATCCATCCATCCGTCCACCATCTCACCTTCTATTCCCCACAACCCACCACCTGTGTGGCACTGATTTCCACAACGAGAGCTCAGCTCAGCTCAGCTGTGCTCCATCGCAGCTTCGTGGCACTCACGGGCTTCTGTCTTTGTCTCTCCAACTCACTTCTCTCTACTCTCCCCCACTCCCCCCTATGCACGGCCCATCCACCAGTTGTGCGGCACGAAATTTCGCAACGGCTGCTCTCTGCCCCAGTTGCGCCACCGCAACCTCATGGCTCGAAGACACCCCTCTCTCCCTCTGTCTACCGCACTCTTCCCCACATGCCCCACCTACCCACCCACCAGCTATGCGGCACGGAGTTCCGTAACGAGATCCAGCTGCTCTCTGCCGTGTGCGACCGCAACCTCAAGGCTCTCAGGGCCTTCTGTGTCCTGCCTACTCACAATCTCTCCCCCAATCCCCTCCCTAGTATGCCCCACCCACCCACCCACCCACCCACCCACCCACCCACTAGATATGCGGCACTGAGTTTCGCAACGAGATCCAGCTGCTCTCAGCAGTGCGCCACCGCAACCTGATGGCCTTGAAGGCACCCCTCTTCCTCTGTTTCTCCATCTCGTCGTCTCTCCTCCTCCCGAACCCCCCCATGCACGCCCCCCCACCCACCAGCTGTGTGGCACTGAGTTTCGCAACGAGATCCAGCTGCTGTCCGCCGTGCGCCATCGCAACCTGGTGGCACTCAAGGGCTTCTGTGCCTCTCCAACTCACCTCCCTCCCCCACTCCCCCCTGTGCACGCCCCAACCACTACCAGCTGTGTGGCACTGAGTTTCGCAACGAGATCCAGCTGCTGTCAGCCGTGCGCCATCGCAACCTGGTGGCACTCAAGGGCTTCTGTGTGGAGGCGGGCGAGCAGCTGCTGGTGTATGAGTTCATTGAAAGGGGGACGCTGGAGGATATGTTGAGAGGTGAGAAGAAGCGGCGTGGTGAGTGTATCAAGTCCCGGTGTGACTTTTGAGACGTCTCAAAAGGCGGCGTGGTGAGTGTATCAAGTCCCGGTGAGTTGATGCAATGCAACCTCATGGCCCTCAGTGTCTTCCCCGTGGAGGCGGACGATGCGGCTGAGGTATGAGTTCATAGAGAGAGGGACACTTGAAGAACTGTTGAGAGATGTAAGTATTGGGTGAGAAGAGGGAGTGGAGGAGTCGGGGTTGAGGAGGATGGGGGAGGGGAATGATGCCACCTTATGGTGAGTGCACTGACTGGCTTGTGTGTGGAGGTGGGCGAGCAGCTGCTGGTGTATGAGAGACACTCAAGGACATGCTGAGAAGTGAGCATCCGTGAAGCCAGCAATGATGCAGCATTAGTGCCTTTTGGTGAAGAGGTGATGTGAGGGGAGGCCATCTCCTCTGCACCGAAGGGCGCTGAACGAGGCTTGCGGGTAGAGAGACAAATTTTCATGCGATTCAAGAGTTGTGAAGGATACCAACACCCCATACCCTTTCTCTCCCCTTTGTGTGTGCCGACTACCAGCGGACTCAAAACACCCGCTGACGTGGCGGCAGCGGGTTGACATCGCGTGTGGCGCAGCCAGTGGGTTCGCGTACCTGCACCATCAGATCAAACCGCCCATCATCCACCGCGATGTGAAGGTATGTGTGTGTGCTGTGTCAACATGCATACTTGCATGCTCATTTGTGCTTGACCTGTTCATGCAAGCCGGTTTGCATCACCTGCAGCATCAGATCAAGCTGCCCATCATCCACCGTGACGTGAAGTAGGGAGAGGGAGGGTCAACTAGTGTTGGAACATGCATGCATGCTATGCTCATATGTGTGCAAGTGAGCAAGAGTAAATCGTCTGTGGCACAACAAGTGGGCTTGCGTACCTGCACCATCAGATCAAGCCACCCCCATTATCGCCGCGTGAAGGAAGGGAGAGAGTGATGGCGTGTGTTGGAACATGCATGCGTGCCTTGAGTCGACTCAAAACACGACTCATTACATAGGGAGAGAGTGATGGTGTGTGTTGGAACATGCATGCGTGCTCATATGTGTGGTCGTGGCAGCCAGTGGGATTACATAGGAGCATCAATGATCGCGATGTGAAGGTAGGGGGTGAGTCTCTGTGTGAGCGTGCGTGTGTGCGCATATACTTGCACACGAACGTGTGCGGGCGGGCATACATGCGTGCTAATGCTTGTGTGCGTGGGGCGTGTGCATGTGTGCGGTGCACACATGCCCACAACGCAATGTCCCACGCACATGAGCTTGTTTCCAAGTTGGCATGGCCGACAACCACTTGGGTGGCCCACCATACAAACCCCCCCCTTCTTCCCCACCCACACTAGACGGACAACTTCCTCATCACAGCAGGCCTCAAAGCGAAGATGGCTGACCTTTGCATCTCCATGGCTGACCTTTGCATCTCCATGGCTGACCTTTGCATCTCCATGGCTGACCTTTGCATCTCCATGGCTGACCTTTGCATCTCCATGGCTGACCTTTGCATCTCCATGGCTGACCTTTGCATCTCCATGGCTGACCTTTGCATCTCCATGGCTGACCTTTGCATCTCCATGGCTGACCTTTGCATCTCCATGGCTGACCTTTGCATCTCCATGGCTGACCTTTGCATCTCCATGGCTGACCTTTGCATCTCCATGGCTGACCTTTGCATCTCCATGGCTGACCTTTGCATCTCCATGGCTGACCTTTGCATCTCCATGGCTGACCTTTGCATCTCCATGGCTGACCTTTGCATCTCCATGGCTGACCTTTGCATCTCCATGGCTGACCTTTGCATCTCCATGGCTGACCTTTGCATCTCCATGGCTGACCTTTGCATCTCCATGGCTGACCTTTGCATCTCCATGGCTGACCTTTGCATCTCCATGGCTGACCTTTGCATCTCCATGGCTGACCTTTGCATCTCCATGGCTGACCTTTGCATCTCCATGGCTGACCTTTGCATCTCCATGGCTGAGCGAAAATATCTCCTGTACCTCTCCCCCTTCCCCTTTGCCCCCTCCCCGGCCTCTAAATCATGCCCCCCCCCCCTCCCACCACCAGACGGCCAACATCCTTATCGCAGCAGGCCTCGAGGCGAAGGTGGCTGAGTTTGGTATCTCCAAGGCTGACAGCATGTGTATGCCCCCCTTGCCACCATTATTTCGTCTCTCCCTTGCTCATTCCCTTCCCCCCCTCCCTTTCCCCCCCCGACGGCCAACATCCTGATCACAGCAGGCCTCGAGGCGAAGGTGGCCGACTTTGGCATTTCCAAGGCGGTCCCTGAGGAGGTGGAGAAGGGGGGGAGGCTGGACACGCAAGTGAAGGGGACTGTGGTGAGTGCAGAGATGAGGAAGGCGATTTCAGGGGGTGGGAGTGGTGTGGGCGCAGGACGAAACCGTGAGTGGAATGTTTAGGGCTTTGCCAGAGGAGGTGGGGAGGAGGGGGGGAGGCTGAACACGCTAGTGAAGGGGACTGTGGTGAGTGGAATTGGGAGAGTGGTGCTTATCAAATGGGAAGCATACCCACTCGATCGTTTTTTCCTTTCTTTTCTTCTTTTTTTGGGCCATCAATCTACACATCAATGAACGGTTTGTTGTTTTCCTCCTTTTCTCTCCCCACTTGCCGTGCCCAGGGCTATTTGGACCCACAGTATTTTCAATGCGATTTACTCACGGAAATGAGTGACGTGTACAGTTTCGGCATCGTGCTTCTAGAGCTAGCCACAGGTCTCCGCCCCGTGACCAACGGGGAGCATATCCGATCTATCGTGATCGATAGGGTTACCAACCACGGCGGCGCGTACAGTGTCATGGACCCTGTATTGAAAGCCTTGTGGGAGAGACAGCAGAAGGGGGATGGGGAGAGCGGGGAGCGGGGGGGAGCGGTAGCGGGAGGGGGAGCAAGAGGAGGAGGGGGGGGAGGTAACAGTGGAAATGGGGAAAGAGAGATGGGTGAGAACGAGCATCTGGAGGAGACGTGTGGGAGCGAGGCTCTGCAGGAGACGTTTGAGTGGTTCTTGCGGCTGGGGATGCGGTGCAGCCTCAAGCAGGCACAGAGCCGACCCGACATGCAGCAAGTGTTGAAAGAGCTGGAGGGGATCAGGCGGATGCTCAACTGTGTTTCTGGCTCCCATAGTGCTGCTGCTGCTGGTGGTGCTGCTGCTGCTGGTGCTGGTGGTGGTGATGGTGCTGCTGCTGGTGCAGGTGCTGGTGGTGACGGCAGCAGCAGGTGTGACTATAGCGAGCGGTCCAATGGGGAGAGTGGGGGTTCCTTGGGTGCAGTGAATTCCCAAGCTGGTCGATCCTTCTGGGCTGAGATTGTTGCGTCAGCGTCAAAAGGGCCGAGCAGATTCAAGGAGGAGATTGCGGAGGAGATTGATGAGGAGGAAGAGGAGTCGTGGTTTGCGGAGAGGATGAGGAAGGGGATGAAGGGAGAGACATCGGGTAGCGATGCGGATGGACTGCTGAACCACACGTTGACTTTCACAGGGAGTGAGCCGCAGATCAAGGTGGTGCCTCGATGAAGAGGAAAGGGAGAGAGGGAAGGGACAGAGGAAAGGAGAGGGAGAGATGTCAAGCAGCAATGGGGATGGTTTGCTGAACCACATGGTGACTTTCACCGGGAGTGAGCCGCACTTCAAGGTGGTTCCCAGGTGAACAGGGAGTGGAGGGAGTGGTGGGGGGAGCAGCATGGGGGAATGTCGAGCAACGATGGGGATGGGCTAAACCACATGGTGACTTTCACTGGCAGTGAGCCGCACATCGAGGTGGTTCCTTGATGGAAAGAGGAGGGATGGAGTGGAGGGACGTTAAGCAGCAATGGAGATGTGCTGCTGAACCATGCGATGGCTTTCACCGGAAGTGCCCCGCAGATTGAGGTGGTTACGAGATGAACAGGGGAGGGGGCGGGGGAAGGGGGGACAGCATGGGGGAAAGTCAAGTGAAGCTGGGGATGGGCTACTGAGCCACACGGTGGCTTTCACCGGGAGCGCACCACAGATTGAAGTGATACATCTGGATGCTCCTAAGCATGAATGTTCCTATTTGAGTGATTCGCTGCATGAAGAATCGAAACTGTAAGTTTTTTGCTTGGTCAATCTTGCTGCAGAATGCTGGTGCTATACATATGCTTCTATTTGGAAATATATGGAATAGTATACTCACCAATTATACACTTCTCCCAGAAAACCACAAATAGCGTACCGCTATAAGCATCTCCCGAATACCAATAGAAAGGAGAATATGGTGATGTCTGAAGCTTTACGGCTTAAAACCCACCGCGCGGGTCAAGTTTTTTAAAGTTGACGAAGTGGGCTGTGCAAGCTTTGAAAAGAAGCGCAGCTGCAATTTGAAACTTTCTAAGTCTGACACACCCTCGAGGGTAAAAATGCGGGGCTGTCTAGGTTGGGCGAAAAAAACGAATTTCATGAAATCGGAAACACTTGCCAAAACCCAAACCAGTAAAACTCCCTCTCGTCATCTTTTAAAAACTTGTGCAATTTGGGCCAACGGCTTTAAAATTACTATCATTATGAGCCTCAAGAATGACCTACAGCAGCTCAGGATAGAAGTCATCCCACCAATGAGCACTCAGAAGCCTCTCTTTGCCTTCATGCTCCTGTCTGCCACATAGGCATTTCTACGCGGGCTTGTGCCCAAGAAATCGTCAAAATGCATGAAACAGCTCGTGATGTCACTCCCATCCCCACTATGTGCCTTATGTTAGAATCTCCAGGTAGGAATGGTAGACTAGGTAGCATGCATGAGTACAAGTACCTAACCCTAAAGTGTTGTACCCCTTGTAGGCTAACTCACTATAGCCTAGAGAGAACACAAACATGCAGTTTGACACACCCCCATAGGCTAAGTGGGAGATAGCAAACACAACAGACGGTCACAAGACCAGTCAAGCAAGAGAACAAGCAAAGCAACACAAAGCTCAGGGTGGATCTCAAGGACACCACACAATCTGAGCACAAGCAAGCGGCCACAAGGCCAGTTCACATGCAGAGTTATAATAGCAAGGCAGTACACTGATCACAACCTAGCAAGAGTAAACAAGCAGGTATAAAGATATATATCAGTGTACAACAAGAGCAAGTCAAGCAACCAGCAGGTGAGGCAGAGTGGGCACAAACCCAAGAGCAGTGCAGAAACGCTGATGATCACCAGACTCGAGGGCCTTGGTGAAGACATCAGAAGTGTTGGCCCGAGAGGCCACGAAAGCAAGGCGCAGCTGACCACGCTGCTGCAGCTCACGCGCAAAGAAGTAGCGAAGAGCAATGTGCTTCGTTCGGTGCTCCAGTCTCTGCTCGCGACACAATGCAAGCATTGCCTTGTTGTCGACGTACAGAACTGGAGGAGAACGAGGCCGCTCCCCCAAGTCGGTCAGCAGGTAGGTCAGCCAGCGTAGCTCCTGTGCAGCCATGGCCCCAGCGTAGATCTCGGCCTCACAGCTGGAACCAAGCACAGAAGAAGAACGAGTGGACCTCCACAAGGCAGAACTAGAGCCAAAACTGAAGGTGTAACCCTGTGACGAACGCTGAGTCGTCTAGTCGTCGGCCCAAGAAGCGTCAGAGTGTCCTATGAGGACCACCGAACCCCGTCCTCCAAGCACGAGCCCCATGCCTGATGTGTTGCACAAGTAACGCAGTACCCTCTTCACAACATCAAAGTGCACCTTTTGGTGTCTACCGGGTGCCACGTAGCGAGCCAGGAGGCTGAGAGGGTACGCGAGGTCAGGTCGTGTGCACGTCATCAGGTACATGAGGCAACCCACAAGCTCTGGGTACAGACCACTCGGCTCTACGGACTCGTCCGAAGGTGGAGCTGAGAGCGAGTGGCCGGTAGACAGAGGAGTGGGCTGTGGTGAGGACCACGTGAAGTGGAAGCGCTGAAGGACCTGCTGCACCATGTGTGACTGAGTCAGGGTGATGGTGCGCCGTGCTCTGTCTCGGGTGATCTGCAAGCCAAGATAGCTCCGCAGCTCACCCAGGTCAGTGCAGGTGTGTCTCTCCTGCAGCTCCGCCTTCACTAGGGCCAGTGCCTCAATGTCAGCAGTAGCAAAAACCAAGTCGTCGACATACACGAGGATGTAGAATGGCGGCAGAGTAGTGTCGGTGCGTAGAAACAGCGACGGGTCAGCAGTCGAAGGAGCAAACCCAAGAGCCGCAAGTGTCGTCCTCAGTGTGTCGTGCCACTCGCGGGGCGCCTGACGCAGGTCGTACACTGGTCGCCGTAGGCTCCACTGGGTACCCTCAGGAAACGACCCAATGAAACCCTGTGGACGGCGCAACCAGATGGCCTCGTGAAGGCTACCCTGCAAGAAAGCTGTCGAGAAGTCGAGGGAGTGTAGCTCGTAGTCACGCTGAGCTGCAACGTGTAGCAACACCCGAAGAGTGGTCATCTTTGGGGTGGGGGAGAAGGTCTGAAAGAAGTCAACCCCCTCACGCTGACTGAAGCCTCGAGCAACGTAACGTGTCTTGAAGGCAGGCGGAGAACCCGACGGCCGCTTCACCCTGAAAATCCACATGCCACTGACGATGTTCACCCCAGGTGGGGGAACCTCGTCGACGTAGGTGCCTGTGGACTTCCAGGAAGCCATCTCTGCGTCCATGGCTGTCTGCCACTGAGAGGAGTACTCACCCGATATCGCCTCCCTGTAGGAGCGCGGGGTGGGGATGTCAAGTGCATCCGGGTCTCCCTCAGGGGCAAGCAGCATGGTCGCGTGATGGGGTGAAGCGGCCGCAAGGCACTCCAGCTCCTCCAACCTGTCCTCAAGAACGTCACAGCCAAGGGCAGTACAGCCAAGGGCAGTCTCACCCCCGACGGACGGAGGACAGGTAGGGACAGGGTCAGAGACAAGTCTCGCAAGGTAGTCTAGGCGGTACACAGCAGCAAAGTCAACGAGCTTAGCGACTAAGGCAGACGCAGCAGGAGACGAGAACGTAGGGTCTGTCACAACCGTAGCAAGGAAGCGAGTAACAGTCGGACTGGACGCACGAGCAAGGTCAGACGGAGGGTCAGCAACGGCAGGAAGAGAGGACGCAGGAGGTAACGGCAGGACAACACGATGTGGAACAGAGGAAGGACGGAGTGTCATATCGTAAGTGCCTGGGACAGCCGGAGCACGAGGACGACGCACACGATGCACACGAGTACGGACAGCGGCACTAGGCTCGGGCTCAAGGTCAAAGCTAGACTCAGACTCTCGACGCTCAAGGGTGGAAGCACGAGTCTCAGGCTCTTGACGCTCAGACAGGGACTGTGTCACCGCAGTGTAAGGAGCAGGAGCAGGCAGTGGGGAGTGCGGTAGCAGCGGCAGCTGAGACTGGTCTGCCGGTGGAAACAGTAACGGAGGAGTAGTACCTGCCACTGGGAAGTCAGTAGCACCTGGCGGAAGACTGAGAAGGTGG